GCTGGCACGGACAGATCGGAAAATAATCATTTCCAGCTACCGCGCCTACTCGAGCTGGCCGCTCATATCGTTGACAAGCCCCCGCGCGCGTGGCGAGAGGTGAGGGGGCCCCTAGGAGCTGCTGTGCTTTCGCTGCGCCGCATAAGCTGGCAGTTTCACTCAGCGCTAGTTCTCAAGGACGAAGTTGGTAAGCTGTGGCCGATCACGGCTTTCTCGCCCAAGTTGTTCGAAAACAAGGTGTGCGCAGCTTGGCAGAACATGCATCTAGCCACGGTGGCCAATAAACTCGGGTTGGAACCTGGGGCGTCGCTGGACTTGAGCGTGGCTCGGAGCTTGATCTTTGAGAGAGCGTGATCCACCGCCGCTTTACTGTGGAAAATTGCCCTCCTCTTCCTCCGGAACTCGGCCCCCCCCCTCTTCCGTCCGAAAATCCCCCCCCCCCCTCTGCTGGAACCCCACCCGCCCTCCCCTCCCCCGGCACCCCCTCCCCCCCTACCCTACCCCCCCCCCATCGAAAACCGATGGGGGGGGTCGCTACCGGTTCGAACCCCTCCCCCGCCCCCCTCGAAAACCGGAGGGGGGGGTCACTACCGGTTCGAACGCCTCCCCCCCCCGCTCACCCCCAGCAAACGGCTCCCGGTCCCTATCGCCGTCCGCATCACACCCCCCACTGCTGTTCCCAGCGCCGCTGTCCTCACCACCACTATCCCCGCTGGTTCCACCACCGTCCCCACTGTCCCCACCAGTGCCCCCACCACTGTCGCACTGTCCCCACTGTCCCCACCACTGTTCCCACCACGGTTCCACTCTCCCCACTTTCTCCACGGCCCGACTATCCCCACTGTCCCCAGTGTCCCACTGACTCCTCCGCTGTCCCACTGAGCTGTCCCACTGTTCCCACCACTGTCCCCACTGTCCCCACCACTGTCCCCACTGTACCTTTGTCCCATTGTCCCACCGCCGTCCTCGCCACCGCCTTCACCACTGTCCCCACCACCACTGTACCCTCCACTGTCCCACTGTTTCCACCTCATTCCTACTGTCCCCACACCGCTGTCCCCACCACCACCGTCCCCACCACTGTCCACTGTCCCCACTGTTCCCACCATTGTCCTCACCACTGTCCCACCACTACCGTCCCCACCACTGTCCCACTGTCCCCACCACTGTCCCGCTGTCCCCTCACCACTGTCCCCACCACCACCGTCCCCACCACTGTCCGCACCCCCGCTCGGTTTTCGAGGGGGGGGGGGGGTCGAACCGGTAGTGACCCCCCCCTCCCCGGTTTTCGGGGGGGGGGGTCAACCGATGAACCGGTAGTGACCCCCCCCCCCGTTTTCCGCCAGCAGCGGTAGAACACGCTCTTTCTGATCTTTAAAAGAGGACCAGGCAAGAGGCCGGTATCCTAATGTCCGTTATTTGCCAATCCGTTTGGACTGGCCACGAGCTCAGGCAGGCGGGGTATGCAGCCGCGACGCAGTGCGCATGTCACCACAGCGATCATCTTTCGCACAGATTGCACCAGTGTCCGCTATCGGCTCCTCTCCGCGGTGAGATGCTGGAGCCAGTCGATGACATCATCCTCACAGACCGCCAGAGAAACTTTCCGCTCGTAGGAGGTTTTCTTCTACTGCCAGAGTTTTCAGTGCAGGCTCCGAGCGGGTCAGGTACGACGTCTTTCAAGTTCTGGAGTGCTGTGCCTGAAAGCATGGTGCAATCTGCCTTCCGCGGGGAGGTGTTCACAGATGGATCCTGCCTCGAGGAAGGGCCAGCGAAATTTCATGCTGCTGGTTGGGCAGTTGTCAAACTCACGGCCGGCGGCGATCTCTTTGCGGCTGTCTGGGGGGCGGTAGGCGACCAACATCCACTGACGTCCCCCGCGGCAGAGCACGTGGCCGCCCTGGCCGTAATGGAGCACTGCCCGGAAGCAACGGGCATACACTCTGATTTCCTCGATTTGGTCCGCCTGACCACGGCCCCATGGCCGAAGGTGATTTCGAAGCAGCACGTCTACGCGGGCATGCGAATCAAGATACGTGCTTCGCCGACGTGGCATGCAGACTTCACGATATCAAAAGTTGCCGCGTATTTAAACATGGAGCAGCTGGAGCCGCAATCCAGAGAGTGGTATTAGCCACCGGCAACGATTTTGCAGACAGCGATGCAAAACTAGGGGCGGCCTCGTTGGCAGAGCCCTCCCAAGCTGAGAGGGAGGCACATGCCGAAGAAAAGGCAACTCTCCAGAGGTACCTCAGATATGTGTCCAAGTGCCTTCTGCTGTCCCCAAGGCTGGCGTCGTCCAAGCAGCAGAGATCGACATTTGACAAGGCGTTGAGAGACCCGCACTTCAGGATGGGGGCGGAGGCGGCAAGGGACACATTGCCTGAGCCGCCGCACCTCGCTACAGGAAGTCCGTCGGGAATGCAAGTGCAAAGGGAGCGCGGGAGCTCGAGCCTGAGCGTTGGCCAAGCAGGAAATACTGCTGTGCGCCCAGGAGCGAGCAGGGTACAGCCTAGTCCTGCGAATCTCCCTCGCCCCCATGGACCTCCGCGGCCAGCATTGCCAGGTGAAGTCGCACGGGACCCATGCCGTCTTTTCCGCCCGCCTCCCAACGGGCACCAAATTAAATGGATCCGCCGTTGGTGGGCTTGCCAGAAATGCCCCAGGCGTACAAGCCGAGACCCGCCTTTTTTTAGCCTTCCAGTGCGTGGGGCACAACCAGGTGCTCAGCGCTCTAGTATCCGAAAGACGAGGGCACGCGCTGTTCGTCACATCGACGCCAGGCGGCATACTATTTGTATGCATGAAGTGTGGCTGCGTGTCGGAGGGCGTCCGCATAAGCAACCTCACCCTGCCTTGTAATGGCCGCCCCGCCAGCGACCATACCAGGGCCAATTTAAAGAGGATCAGGGAAGGGCGGCACCCTTCCCACGCGAAGGGAAACGCAAAGATGCTGGAAGAGCTCGTTCCTGTAGACGATTTCCATTCGAGTTTCTCCCGCGCTACTAAGTTTTTTCTCCGCAGGACTGGGGCACGAATGGTCGGAGGCAGGCAGGAGGGCGGGAAAAGGCAGGTAGGGGAAGCAGTTTCACGCTAGGTCCTCCTGATGGAATTTTTGAAGTTGCACGCAACGCAACCCTCAACAAAACCAAACAAATAGGGGGTGGACCTTTAGCCAGCCGCCGCCAAATGGATGCGCTTCGATGCACTCAGCCGCTCGGGGGAAAAAGGTTTTCAGACATCGATGTCGTCAGTTGTTGCGCGAAGGAAGGCTGGAGGTCAGGAAGGTGTGTGTAGCACGGTTCGCCTAGAACAGGCGACCCTAAGAATCCAAACTACCTCAACTGACTGGCTACACGCTCTTCCTGCAGAACAAGCGACCCGCGACCCTAAGAATCCAAACTGCCTCAACTGACTGGTTACACGCTCTTCCTGCATAAAGCCGCTGGCACCGCGCAGCGACCCTAAGAATCCAAACTACCTCAATTGACTGGTGTTTGCCTCGGCTACCACACCAGATTACAGCAACGAAAATGTCACGAATTCCCGTGGCAGTGCAGGGGCCGGAACTGAACAATCGGACGGGCCAGCACGCGAAGCCAGTGACGTTTTGGGGGTCGCATGGTGCCCACAAAGGTCACCGATACAAGCTGTGGGAATAGGCTGTACGGCCTATCCTTGGCTCTATGCCGTGCAGAGCTAGCCTCGACCACCGCACCGCATGACAGCAACGAAAATGTCACGAGCTCCCGTGGCATGGGCGTGTACCGCACAGTCGGACGGACCAGCACGCAAAGCCGGTGCCTTGTCGCGGTCACACGGCACACATTGATAGATTAATCTTCGATCAAGGGCATGGGCACGATACGGCGAGCATTGGTACGTGATGGAAGGATCTGGCCAACTGTCGCGACTGCCGTGCAGACTTAGTGGCCTGAGCACGCCAGCAAGATTTTGCGAACCACTGCTGCGGCAAGTTCGCTGCCTCCATTCGGGATGCCACCCCGCAGGGGCCCCGATTCGACAGGATCACCTGGGGCATGGGGTGAGGAGGGGGTGGCGGCCAGCGATATCGATACAGGGTGGAACATCGACCGGTGTTCCTCACTAAGCCCCTCAGCATCGTGGCCATCCGCCATCCCCCAAACCTTCGGCTGCGCGGAGGCCGCCCGCATCGGCCATCCCCCTGCCACCGACGGGGTGCGGTGTCCGTGGCTGGCCCGCAACCGAAGGCTACAACCGGGACAATCCTCCTCCGAGGAGGAGGCGGGAGAGAAGGAGGAGGAGGAGGAGGAGGAGGAGGAGGAAGAGGAGGGAGGGAGGAAGGAGGGGGGGGGGAGAGGAGGAGGAGGAGGAGGAGGAGAGAGGAGGAGGGAGGAGGAGAAGGAGGAGGAGGAGGAGGAGGAGGAGGAGGAGGAGGAGGAGGACCTCGAGGCTCTGATCGGGCACACGTGGCCATGGACTTGGAATCCGCGGATCTGGCGCGCGGGCGCGCCAGACCCGCCCGACCCGAGGAGGCGACGGCGCGCGCCGACTCTGTGCAGGCGGGGGACAGGGCCGCCAATCGACACGTCCAAAATCCATACGGCAGGTTCGTGTCGTGCCGACCCCAGCGTTGGTTTTTGACACCGCGCTGGATCGTTCAACCTTGAACGATCGGCCGCTGCCGCAACGTCCGATCGTTCAACATCGATCGATTCTGGGTCGCCGGCGGCGTTCAACCTTGAACGTCCGCGCTGGGGTCGCCGCTGGTCGACACGACGCAAACCTATCGTACAGTCGGCCTTGATTGAACAGGACACGCGAGAAGGCACACTGCCGCAGGAATGTAGGAAGCATGGGTCGCGAGACACGGGACACGAGGCTACCCTTTCTCTGGCAGGGTCGACCTGCTAATCCGGGCCGACTGTGTCTGCGCTTCCTCGAGCTCCTCAAAACGATCCTCGAATGCCCCTCGTGGCCACCACCCGACCCATGCGGTTCTTCTCGGGCGCGGGCGCAGAACACCTCCGCCGCGTCGCTCTCGCTCTCGAGGCCCTCGAGGCAGTCTGCCAGCTTCTCGGTGTCACACTTGGCGCCGCATTCCTGGGCTGCTCATCACTGCTGCTGCTCCTCCTCGGATGCCGTCTGCTGCCTACTGCTCCTGTTTCTTCTCAGATCTTACAGCCATGGCGCTACAATAGGAGCTCGACCACAAGAAACCTTCCACAAGAAACCCAACCCTGAGACCCCAGGACGTCCATTGACTTCTGGTGTAGGAATATCACGCTTTCCATCGCAAAACCATCGAAACCCAAGAAACCCAGGGCACCCTGGAGGCAAGCAGAGTGTTTCTCGGCATGGGTCTCCACTGTACCATAGGGAATGCCAAATAAGGAACGACGACGCTTTCCAGGCCACGGAGATCATCGGCCATGAACACGCCGCGAGACCCACAAAGGAACGGCCCTGACACCAGAGCCCATCCTGAATGCAAGTGGCCCCCTACAGGGGGTGTCGGGCGTGTCCCCCTACAGGGGGTGTTTTGGACGTAACATACAAAACATACACCAACCGTACCCCCAAATGGCCAAACAGTAATATAAAACCGTCCCCTGACTATTTTTTACTATTTTTGAATATTCCCCCTGTAGAGGAACAGTGCAGGCACGACTTCATACTTTCTGGCTCGGCACAGAGCTGGAGGCGTGCCAGTCGTGCCGGGTCCCCCTTGTGCGCCTCGCGATCTCCTTCTCCTCCTCCTCCTCCTCCTCCTACTCCTCCTCCTCCTCCTCCTCGCCCTCCTCAGCGTCCGCCTCCACCTCCTCCCCCTCCTCCCCCTCCTCCCCCTCCTCCCCCTCCTCCTCCTCCTCCTCCTCCTCCTCCTCCTCCTCCTCCTCCTCCTCGTCCTCCCCCTCCGCCTCCTCCTCGTGTCTAAAACCCCGAGATGTGCATCAGATCGTCCTGGCACGTCCCTCTGTGGGCGTCTGCCTGGCTGTGAGCCCGGGCGTGAAACAGCGAGTCCGGGTAGGCGACGGGGGGAGCGTAGCATCTCTGAGCACTCCAGGAGGAGTCCGTGGGGTGCTCGAGTGCTGCGCCTGCTGTGTCGCAGTGGCCCCGAGGGCCTCACGAGAGAAAGGCGTGGAAAGGGCCAAGACATCCCGAACACCAGCATCACCGTAAGTTGGAGGGGGCGAGGAGGAGGAGGACGAAGAGGAGGAGGAGGAGGTGGAGCACAAGGAGGAGGATGAGGACCCCCTCCTCCTCCTCCCCTTCCTCCTCCTCCTCCTCCAACTTCTGATAGTGGTGGTGGCAAACAGGCCCATGAGAGACATTACCCACATGTGGCCGCGAACCGGCAAGCGTCCTGTCCTCTGGCGGCTTCCCTCTGGGCCCCCCCCAGTGCCACGCCTGCCGCCTCGCGGAGCTCATGGGGATCCCCAAAGAGAGGAGCCCCAACCACCAGACAGACAAACCGCCTGAGGCAACCCCACACGGGGCACGAACGGACCCGTGCAACTTCCCCTGGCGGCTCCACATTAAATTGCCCAATGCTGAGGCTGGCATTGGGGAGAACAGGAGGTACCGATACCGCTACTCCCTGGATCTCTCCCGGGGTGCGTTCTGACCAAAATTTCGAAGCGAATCCAGAGGTGGTGACGAGGGCCGCCCAGGAGATACAAAAAAGGGGAAACGAGCGAATGGTAGCGGTATGGGTACCTTTTTCCTCCTCTGAGGTATATCGCGTACTGTAGACCACGGGGCGCTGAAAAACCAGCAGTCTGAGCCAGCAAGCAGAGCAAACCGCCCGCGACGTCTCAACAAGCCGGGCGCGAACGGGCAAGGGTCACACACCCCCGGGCGGCTCCTCCGCGGGATGCCCACAAAATGCCACGCCTGCCATGTCGCTGGGGTCAAGGGGTTCTCAAAAGAGGGGCCTGAACCACCAAACAGGCACACCGCCCAAGACATCCCCACAGTCTGGGCGCGAAGGGGCAAATATCTCCCTTTCTGGCGCTCCTCCTCGGGGTGCCCGCGTGTAACGTCTGCTAGACCGCGGTGACCATGGGGCCCTCAAAAGAGAGCAACTACTCCACTGAACAGGACAACTGCTTAAGGCATTCCCACAATCTGGGCGCTGGCTGGCCCGTGCAATTATGGGGGCTCACAGAAGTATCAACTCTGGGGGGCAAAAGCAGCAAACCGCCTGAGAATCCCGACAATCTGGGCGCGCGAACAGGCAAGTGCCCCCCTCCCTGGCGGCTCCTCCTTGGGGTCCCCAAGTGCCACGCCTGCTACATTGCAATGTCCACGGGACTCTGGGGGGGCAGACATGGCAAATCGCCTGAGACATCCCGACACTCTGGGCGTGAACGTGCAAGTGCCCCCCCTCCCTGACGGCTCCTCATTTACACGCAACGCCTGCTACGCTGTGGTGATGATGGGGCCCTGAGAAGAGCGCGCCCGAGCCAGCAAACAACAAAAACCGCACATGGCATCCCCACATTCTGGGCGCGCGCACGAACGGGCACGAACGGACAAAATGTCATACCGCCTGCCGACTCCTCCTTGGGGTGCCCCTGGCGTATCGCTGATCATGGTGGCCCTCAAAAGCTTGGGTCGTCTTGAATGTGCCCAAAGTGTTTTGTTCAAACGTTTTTAACCAGGCGTGCTGGGAATCATGTCTGTTTAGCGTTGTTAGGTTCCAACAAGAAAACCACAACCGCTACACATGTATTCATTGTGAACTTCAAGAGGCGTCTAAGGGTGGGGGGAGAACAAAAGCAGCACACCGCCCGAGACATCTCCACACCCTGGGCGCGAGCGTGCAAGTATCCCCCCCATGGCGGCTCCTCCGCGGGCTGCCCACCTGCCACGCCTGCTAATTCGGTCGGGTGCGAACCAGTCTGAGCGGGAGTGACTCCGAGTGTGACTGAATATTTGTATGTGTGAACGCGGTCTGAGTATGAGTGGCTCATGCTGTGAGTGCGAGGCTTTATGAGGAGGGCCGTGTGTGTGTGTGAATGAGTGAATGAGTATGAGTGCAAATAGTTCCGAGAGGGCGTGCGTGTGTGTGTGTGTGTGTGTGTGTGTGTGTGCGTGCGTGCGTGCGTGCGTGCGTGCGTGCGTGCGTGCGCGTGGGTGTGTGTGTGTGTGTGCGTGTGCGTGTGTGTGTGTGTGTGTGTGTGCGCATGCGTGCATGCGTGCATGCGTGCATGCGTGACTGGGAGCTGCGTGCTCTGATGTGAGTGAGCCTGAGTCTGAATGATTCGGAGTGTGAGTGAGTCTGACTGTGAGAGACCTTGGTGTGATGAGAGGTGAAAGGAGGAGGGATTGAGTGAGTGTGTGAGGAGGAGACGTCACACGAAACACAATGACCCCATCTTAGGATATGGGAAAAGAAAAGAGGGGAATAATACGTGAGAGAGAGGAGAGAGAAGAGAGAGAGAGAGAGAGAAAGCGAGAGAGAGAGAGAGCGAGAGAGACATAGAGAGAGAGAGAGAGCGAGAGAGAGGGAGAGAAAGAGAGAGAGAGAGAGAGCACGAGAAAGGGACAAAGAGAGAGAGAGAGAGGGAGAGCAAAGAAGAGAGAGAGAGAGAGGAAAAGAGACAAGCTAGGTGCACTGGCGCCACAGCTGATGTCACGTCCCTCCTCCCCATTACTTCCCACTGCGCCGGTTGGCATCTGTCCGCGGGCGCGTGCCATAGCCGACCCGGAGCTCCGCGAACGACTCTGTCGGTGCCGCGCGCAAGCGGAAGAGGGCAACCCGTGGGACCCGTGCGGGTCCGGGGGCACCCGTGGCCCGTGGGGGTCCTGTGGGACCCCCGGCGCCCGGGGGACCCGCGGGTGGCCCGTGCAGGGCTGTGACACGCCCGCGGGGCCTGCGAGGCCCATGGGGGCCGGTGGCGCCGGCGAGCCCTGCGGGAGCCGTGGGGGCCCTCTGTGAAGGGGCACCACTTCCCATGTTTTCCCATATTTTCTTGGGAATCGACGATTAATTGTGTCTGCGTGTTTTTTTCTCTCCTGATTCTTGTGGGTCCCGTGAGGCACGCGGCGCCCAATGGGACCCGCGGGGCCTGCGGGGCCTGCCGGACCCTGTTGGACCAGGGACGCGCGAGGCCTGCGGCACGCGGTGGGAATCGTGGGCGTGGAGCTTATCGGACTCATGGGGCCCGTGGGACTTGTGGGGTGACCTGCGACACTTGTGGGACCTGTGGGACCTGTGGTGCCTGCGAGACTGGCGAGACTCGTGGGATCCAGAAAAATGGCCCATGCTGGGGCGGGAGCGCCATTCTGAACAACGGGCGCACAGCGCCGATCCGAAAACTAGGCCATCCGCTGCAGCGAGAGCACCTTTTGGAAAATTGTGCACAATGGGATGACAAACAACACCATGTGAACAGCCGGCTCGCGCAAATCTTGTGTTGAAAAAGCAGCACGCGGAATCATGGAATCGAGAAGAGCGAGAGAACAGCGAACTCACGCACAACATGTGTAAGACGCAACACGCGTGGACATCTTCGGGGGAGGGACGGGAAGCATGTTTTCACATTGAAATTGTCAAGCGAAGGAGGGCGCGAAGAGGGAGGGACAGGCAGAGTGGGGGCCGAGGACGCGGATCGGGCGGAGGCGTGGAAGCAGGCGAGAGAGGAGGCGATGTCCTGTTCCTCATCAGTAGTCATCTCCGCATTACTACCTTGTGGGGTCCTCCAACTCATCAGCGTCGTCGTCGTCCTCGCATTCTTCCCTCCTCCACCTCCACCGATCGCAGAACTTTGGCCCATGAGGCATTACAGTGGCAGGCAAGAGTGCGAGCATAGCATGCAGAATGCCCGAGAAGGATCGTGACCCTCAACGTCTTCCTCGTCTTCCGTCCTTCTCCACCGAAAGCAAACAACTCTGGCCAATGGACCATTGCAGTGGCAGGCAAGCGAATAGGCGGAGGTAACATGCAGAAGACACGGGGACAAACGAAAGAAACTGGTGGGACGGAAGGAGAGATGGCAAGAACATATTGTAGATAGCGACACGCATGGACCACGGTTATGCACCCGCACACGGGCGAAGTGCGCGCCAGCAGAGCTGATTCTTGCTGGAGGGAGGGGATGGGCGCGGACCACATGACCCTCCTGCGGGGTGGAAATCCGGGCAGTTAAGAAGGCTGCGCGACCGCACGTGCACCTCACGCGCGTGCGGAACATACTCGCGCACGGATGCACCGTTCGAAGGCGACATACCTGCCCACGAGCTCGACTACTCTCTGTCTCTCCCTGCCCTTCCTGCCTGCCTGTCTGTCTGCCTGCCTGTCTGTCTGCCTGCCTGTCTGTCTGTCTGCCTGCCTGTCTGCCTGTCTGTCTGTCTGTCTGTCTGTCTGACTCTCTCTCTCTCGCTAGGGGGGCGTCTCCTTTGGGCAGGACTCTTTCTTCTCCTGGCCACAAGAGGAGGGCAAAGAGCGGACGAGGTGGACGGGATTCGGCACGTTACTTGCTCGTTGCTCCTACCTTGCAGTCCAGACCATGACTCCTCCCTTCTCCTTCCCATCCCTCCATGAGCCACAGGCACGGCAGCAAACGACGATGTTCCCAAACGTGCCACCTGTCATGGGGCTGCGTGCACAACATGGGCCCGTTTAGATTGGGGACACCCTCCCTCCCAGCTATCTTTCCGCCTCCGTTTCTTTTTCTCCCTCCCTCTCTCTCCCTCTTCTGGCATCCGGTCCGGCTTTATCGGCATATGTTTCGCTCAACCTGCCTAACCGCTTGCTATTACCTGCCTGCCCGAAACAATCTCCCGCCGAGGGAGGACTCGATACGGCGTGGCTGAGCCCCCCATTCGCTGAACTCCTCCCTCCTCCCTCCCTCGTCCCATGGGTGGTTGGTTGGGGCGCCACGGGTTCGTTCGCCGCCGGGCAGGGCGGCGTACAAGCACTGCCAAAACGGTTCTTCGAGCATCGTGCTCTAACCTTGTCCCCCCCCCCCCGTTGGTGGGGCCCACAACGGCGCTGCGGTTCTCGACGTTCCCTCGTGCCGAATTCATCCGATCCGATCTCCCTCGCCTTGCATTTTCCTCCTGCCCTTGTGCAGGCGCAGCCGTTGGCTTGGCCAGCTTCGTGGGTGCAGATCGCCCCACCGCTCCCACGGATGCTCGTCGATGCCTCAGGCACCGCGGGGGATTTTCTTCTCGACCGGAAGCATGAACCCGGGCGCAAATCCAAGCTTCGCGGATGCAGGTCCCACCAGCCCCGTGGGCAGAGACGGTCTAACAGCTCCGCTCCTTGAAAGCCCCTGCCTAATTCGTAGAGAGGATTATCCCTGCTTCCTGTCAACGAGCGCCCCCTCCCCCACCCGACCGGCGGCAAACCCGAACCTGGGCCAACCTCCCCGCCATCCCAGCCAAAAAAAACAGACAGCACAGCACACCTGCTGCAGCAGAACGTTGGCGCGGGCGCCCCGCGATCACTTTGCAGTGTATTTCGACAGGGCTGGCGAGTGTGCCCTCAAATTGTCAGGCACACCATCCACATCAACCAAAACATTGCAAAGGACCGCGGGTGCAGATGCCTTGCGCCAATCTGGCCACCCAGCCGTCGATTTGCACGCTTGTTGTCAGGTATCGTGGGGGGACGAACAATGACATAAACATAAAAACTCAAAGGTCTGCGCGGATTTCTCGAATCGGCGCTGGATCCCCCTTCCTTGGCGCCGATCCGACAAATCCGCGCGGACCTCCGATTTGCTTGATGTTTATGTCAGTATTCGTTCCCCTAGACCTGCTCCCGACGCGTCCTGCCACGAGCACTGGCGCACATGGCGCGGGTGGACGAGACGAGACGACCCAGACCCCCGACGTCTTGTTTTTTCCATGACGTCGATCCCCAGAAGTCTCTCGACCATTCTCCGTGACCGGTCTCTCATCCTGAGTCGTTTTCTGACAGTCCCGAGGGCCTGGTAAGGGCCTCCAGAGGCCGAAAATGTAGCAAAGTCTCCAGAGGCCGAGGGCCTGGTAAGGGCCTGTAAGGGCCGAAAATGTAGCAAAGTCTCCAGAGGCCGAAAATGTAGCAAAGTCTCCAGGGCCTGGTAAGGGCCTCCAGAGGCCGAGGGCCTGGTAAGGGCCTGTAAGGGCCGAAAATGTAGAAAAGCCTCCCGTCGTGACTGCTCAGCACTGCTCCCCGGCGGCGCAAAGGGGGCCCAGGCGCCGATCCCAGACCCCCGGGGGCAACGACAAAAATCATGACGGGAGGTGTTTCCCCATGTTCGGCCTCTCGAGGCCCTGACCGAGCCTCGGGATCGTCAAAGAACGACGCAGGATGAAAAACCGGTCCAGGGGATTGGGTCGAGACCCTTGAGGTCGGCGTTGTGAAAAAGTCATGGCGTGATCCAAGAGATCCGCGCGGAGCGCCAAACGCTTATGTGTATGTCGTTTTGTCCTTCCTCGAGATTCTAGGAAAAGCCGCGTGGGCCAAGAGTTAAGTCGGGCCTGTGCCCCTACAGGGGGATTTTCGACGAACAATACAAGGTACCCCAGAAATGATAAAACAATAATCAACAAATAATCAAGGGACTACTCTTTGAGTATTTTTGTCCCTTTTCGGGTATGTTTGGGGTATTTTTTATTTTTCGTCGAAAATCCCCCTGTTTGGAGGACACATGATTTATTCCCCACATGTTTCGTGGGGTTCTGGTTTTCTTCCCTGCCGCATCGCACCCGCGTCTCCTCACACACACACACCTCCCCTCCTCCCTCCTCCCCTCCTCCGCTTGCTTCCTCCATTCACCTACACGCAACACATCCACGGCACGTACATAAGACACGAGTGAGACACGCGTGGCGCGTTCACTGAATCATACATTGAACACGCATGCACAACATACTGGGCACCCACATGAGGTACCCCCCATCACAAACGTGCGTGTAGGATTCGCAGTGCATGGCAGGAGGCTCTATGCGGGCCATGGCGCAAAACAGGCGTTGCACTTTCTTAACATACAGCCGCAGGGCACGCGAGTGGGACACGCGTGGCGCGGTCACGGCATCATACATTCAAGACGCATGCACACCATACTGGGTACTTTCTCGACACCAGAAAAGGGGTGCGCAGGGGGTGGTCTCTCAGCGCGGCCTCTATGGGTGCCAGGGTCGGAGAGCGTGGCAGGCGTGGCAGTTTCTCGATACCAGGAGGGGGTGCGCAGGGGGTGGTCTCTCACCGCGGCCGCTATCCGTGACGGTCGTCCAGGGCACAGCAGGCATGGCATATTCTCGACACCGGAGGGGGTGCACAAGGGGTGGTCTCTCACCGCGGCCGCTATCCGTGACGGTCGCCCAGGGCACAGCAGGCATGGCATATTCTCGACACCAGAAGGGGTGCGCAGGGGGGGGTCTCTCACCGCGGCCGCTATCCGTGACGGTCGTCCAATGCACAGCAGGCATGGCAGATTCTCGACACCATTGGGGGTGCGCAGGGGGTGGTCTCTCACGGCGGCCGTTAGCCGTGACTGTCGTCCAGGGCACACCAGGCATGGCATATTCTCGACACCACGAGGGGTGCGCATGGGGTGGTCTCTCACGGCGGCCGCTATCCCGTGACGGTCGTCCAGGGCACTGCAGGCATGGCATATTCTATGGCATATTGACACACCATATGGGGGTGCGCAGGGGGTGGTCTCTCACCGCGGCCGCTATCCGTGACGGTCGTCCGAGGCACAGCAGGCATGACACATTCTCGACACCAGAAGGACAGCAGGCATGGCATATTCTCGACACCGCACGGGGTGCGCAGGGGGTGGTCTCTCACCGCGGCCGCTATCCCTGACGGTCGTCCAGGGCACAACAGGCATGGCATATTCTCGACACCATAGGGGGTGCGCAATTGGTGGTCTCTCACCGCGGCCGCTATCCGTGACGGTCGTCCAGGGCACAGCATGCATGGCATATTCTCGACACCATAGGGGGTGCGCAGGGGGTGGTCTCTCACCGCGGCCGCTATCCGTGACGGTCGTCCAGGGCACAGCAGGCATGGCACGTCTCCGCACCATAAGGGGTGTGCAGGTGGTGGTTCTCTCACCGCGGCCGCTATCCGTGACGGTTGCCAGGGCACAGCAGGCATGGCATATTCTCGACACCATAGGGGGTGCGCAGGGGGGGGGGGTCTCTCACCGCGGCCGCTATCCGTGACGGTCGTCCAGGGCACACCAGGCATGGCATTTCTCGACACCGTAGGGGGTGCGCACGGGGTGGTCTCCCACCGCGGCCGCTATCCGTGAAGGTCGTCCAGGGCACAGCAGGAATGGGGTGCGCAAGGGGTGGTCTCTCACCGCGGCCGCTATCCGTGACGGTTGCCCAGGGCACAGCAGGCATGGCATATTCTCGACACCAGAGGGTTGCGCAAAGGGTGGTCTGTCACCGCGGCCGCTATCCGTGACGGTCGTCCAGGACACAACAGGCATGGCAGATTCTCGACACCATAGGGGGTGCGCAGGGGGGGTCTCTCACCGAGGCCGTTATCTGTGACGGTCGTCCAGGGCACAGCATGCATGGCATATTCTCGACACCAGAGGGGGTGCGCAAGGGGTGGTCTCTCACCGCGGCCGCTATCCGTGACGGTCGTCCAGGGCACAGCAGGCATGACATATGCTCGACACCAGAGGGACAGCAAACATGGCATATTCTCGACACCAGAAGGGGTGCGCAAGGGGTGGTCTCTCACCGCGGCCGCTATCCGTGACGGTCGCCCAGGGCACTACAGCAAACATGGCACATTCTCGACACCATAAGGGGGTGCACAGGGGGCGGTCTCTCACCGCGGCCGCTCTCCGTGACGGTCGTCCAGGGCACAGCATGCATGGCATATTCTCGACACCGCAGGGGGTGCGCAGGGGGTGGTCTCTCACCGCGGCCGCTATCCGTGACGGTCGCCCAGGGCACAGCAGGCATAACATATTCTCGACACCATAGGGAGTGCGCAAGGGGTGGTCTCTCAGCGCGGCCGCTATCCGTGACGGTCGTCCAGGGCACAGCAGGCATGGCATATTCTCGACACCAGAAGGGGTGCGCAGGGGGGGGGGGTTCTCACCGCGGCCGCTATCCGTGACGGTCGTCCAGGGTACAGCAGGCATGGCATATTCTCGACACCACAGGGGGTGCGCAAGGGGTGGTCTCCCTATCCGATGCGGCCTCGCAAAGCTGGGCAGGCGTGGCACTTCCTCGACACCACAGGGGGTAGCGGCAGGGCGTCGGCCACCAGCATCATTATCACATGTTTCACTTCAGCTATGATCAGTCCAGCCATAATATAAATATGTGGGGTTCCTCGGTAGCGTAATTTTTCGTCGAACATCCCCCTGTTTGGGGGACACGCCCGACCTAAGCCAAGAGTAAGGCCTGCTTGGGCAGCCCCCAAGACGGCCTGAGGAGGAGAAGGAGGATGAGGATGAGGATGAGGATGAGGATGAGGATGAGGAGGAGGAGGAGGAGATTCTAGAAAAAGCCGCGTGGGCCAAGAATAAGACCTGCTCGGGCAGCCCCCAAGACGGCCCGAGGCCTCCACGCCGCGCGAATCGCAGTGGCAGGCAGCGGAGCCGAGCGAGACGTGCCGCAGCCGCGGCCGCGGCCGCCGCAGCCCGCCCTGCTGGGCCTGCTTTCCACCACCACCACAACTGGAGCGGGGAAGGCGGCGGAGGACGATGAGGAGAAGGACGAAGAGGAGGAGGAGAAGGAGGAGGAGGAGGAGGAGGGGGAGGTGGAGCAGGAGCAGGAGGACCCCCTCCCCCTCCAGCTTGCTTGTGGTGGTGGTGGTGGAGAACAGGCCTATCAGGGGCGGGCCCCAGCTGGGGCGGGCGTTTTCTCCCTCCCCCCTCCCCCCTCCTTCCCTCATCGTCCTCCTTCCTCCTCCTCTCCCCTCCTCCTCCTCCTCCTCCTCTCTCCTCCTCCTCCTCCTCCTCCTCCTCCTCCTCCTCCTCCTCCTCCTCCTCCTCCTCTCTCCCTCCTCCTCCTCCCTCCCCCTCCCCCTCCCCCTCCCCCCCCTCCTCCTCCTCCTCCTCCTCCTCCTCCTCCTCCTCCTCCTCCTCCTCCTCCTCCTCTACACTCGAAGGCAAGACGAAACCAGGACGAGGACCAGCTCGGGCGAGGCTGCATACGGCGAAGTCCCGGAGGTCCAGCACCTGGAGAACGGCTCGGGCGCCGCAGGCCCTCTCGGAGCGCCCTATGGTGAAGGGGCCCTGGGACACACACACACACACACACAAATAAATACACACACAGACACACATTGACATTCACAGACACAGACACAGACACAGACACACAGACACACAGACACACAGACACACACACACACACACACACCACACACACACACAACACACACACACACACCACGCACACACACGGACACACACAAATAAATATACACACAAATAACAGGATTCCCCATATGTTCCCATGGTTTCTGGTTTTTCGTCTTCCCCCCCACTTTCCACAGAGAGGCCCCCCAAAAGCCCCCCAAGAGGCCCGGGGGGCCCCCAAGACGCCGCCAAGGAGCCCCAAGAGACTCCCAAGAGGCCCCTACAGAGGCCCCCAAAGAGGCCCCCAAGAGGGCTCCGGGGCCGGCGGAATGAGCGAAGCGATTACGTAAAAAACAATCGCCCCCGGACGGCCTTCACGACTATGTTCTTGCATCTCCCTCTGGCAGAGGGACACGCCCGACTGCACCTTTGTCCTCGCCCCCGCCTCCCGGCCGACAGACCGCTGCCCTCGGTGCCGCGCCCCAAGGCCTCTGACCTAAGGTCGGGCATGTCCCCCATACGGGCGCATTTTGGACGAAACATCGAAAACAGCCAAACAAAAACACTCCCTGCTGGTCACAATTGGTCGAAACATCGCCCCCCGACTGTCTTTGTACCATGTCTGGACATCCCCCCTGTAGGGATCGGCCCGACTTGACATGTGTCCTCGCCCCCGCCCCGCCCGACAGAGTGCTGGCCTCGGTGCCGCGCCCGAAAGCCTCGATCGGCGGTGAACAAACCTCCCTTGTATAGCGGGCAAGCAAACCTACCTCGCTTTTGACTACCCTCGCTTCCAAGAGATACCAAGCGATGCCAAAATACGGCATGTACTGGTCAGGTCGCTTGACGAGGAGGCGTATGGTATGACTTGGTTTTGCCTGGAAGCGAAAGCGGGGTAGGTAATTCACGCTCTGATTTTAGCAAAAACCGCCCTTTCGCGACAACGGCCTGGGACCGAAACCGACGGACCTGGACCCGCAAACATGACGGCCGCGACGCCCTCTCGCGAACCGCAAACGGCCAATTCGCTGATCGACGTGTCAGGGTAGGAGGTCTATCAACCTCCGACTCTCACCTTAGCTCGGGCGTGCCCCCCTGCAGGGGGAGTTTGGACGAAAAACAATACATAGTCAAACAACACCCCCAAATGGTAAAAAAAATGCTCCAAAAAATAGTCTCCAGATTTTTTTTACTATTTTTGAATTTCCCCCTGTAGAGGGACGGGCCCGATTTAACTCTAACCTCGAACCCGCCCCCCTCTCCCTCCCCCCTTCACCTCTCCTCCTCCTCCTCCTCCTCCTCCTCCTCCTCCTCCTCCTCCTCCTCCTCCTCCTTCTCCCCCTCCTGCTCCTCCTGCTCCTCCTCCTCCTCCTGCTCTCCTGCTCCTGCTCCTGCTCCTGCTCCTGCTCCTGCTCCTGCTCCTGCTCCTCCTCCTCCTCCTCCTCCTCCTCCTCCTCCTCCTCCTCCTCCTCCTCCCCCTCCCCCCTGCAGCTCTGGCGCCCGCCCTCCGCGCCAGCCACCACCGCGCGCCCGCGCGCGAGGGGGGACGGCCGCCTCCTCGCACTCGGCCTGCGCGGCCTCCTGCCTCTTGGCCATGGCCTCCTGCCGGGGGGAGGCGCACCCGGAGATCCAACGTGTTGAAAAAAAACAGCAAATCAGCACGGAGGCTCTTCGCAGAGTTCGGCCCTCTGGGGTCCTCGCCGGGCCTCGGGGCCGTCAACAAAGCGACTCGGGATGAAAAAGCGGGTCCTGGGGAGTGGGTCGGGACTTCCAAGAACCCCGTATTGAAAAAACATCACGACGTCGGATCTCAGGGTACGTGGATGCCTCCCGGACTCAAACAATAGTCCAAGAATAGTCTGGGGACTACTTTTTGAGTATGTTTGCACCTTTTGGGGGTACTGTTGGGGTATTCCTACCTTTCGTCGAAAATCCCCCTGTAAGGGGACGCGCCCGGCTTAAACTTAGCTCCCAAACCCGGGGCACACGGAGGGGATTGGCTGATCCTGGTGGCGCCGACCCCCGCTGCGTTCGGGCGGGTGGTAATGGAGGGTGACCTGAATGGGGGAGGAAGACAAGAACCTTAAAAAGGAGCCCTCGAGGGCCCCTTCTGGACCTGGTAGCGCTGCCCCCCGCTACGTTCGGGCGGGTGGTAGTGGAGGGTGACCTGAATGGGGGAGGAAGAAAAGAACCTTAAAAAGGAGCCCTCGAGGGCCCCTTCTGGAGCCAGCAAAGGGCCCCGGAGAGGCCCTACGGGGCCCTTTCAGGGGCCTCTTCCTCACCCCCGTTCAAGTCACTCCCCATTGCCACCCGCCCGAGATTGGCTGGCCCTATCAGCGCTGACCTCTGCTACGTGTGCCCCGACGGTTGGCTCGGGCTGCGCTCTGGGAATCCTGGACCTCTCGCGGCCCACTCGTGCTCGGCCATTCGGCTCCCGCCACGCGGGACAGCAGGGAGCCCTGAACATCTTGGAACGCAGCAGTATCGTGCTGCATTGGTGTTCTGAACATCGCTCTGGCCGGCTCCTGGAAATGAGTTCCAACCAGTTGCGCTCCCCGACCGAATCTTTGGATAACACCCGTTCTACGGACGTGCCACGTCCTGCCGCCCAAATGTTGCGTTCGCCTCCGCTCCGAGTTCGTTTCAAAGCGTCCTGCAGCGGAAACGGTCCGACCGACTGCCACAACTCCAGCGCGTGATCGGCCATTGGTGAAACGTGCACAAAGGCAAGACGAGAAGGAAGAGGGAACGAACACGACCCACGATATCAGCATCGATATCGTCGGTCGTTGTCGCCCAGAGCGTTGCGATGGCAATGCATGCCTACGAGCTCCCAAGGGTCGACCCGAGTTCTGCGCTGGTAATTCATCATCGCCAGCGCAGCGCTCTTGCCGACATCTGGGAGCTGAGCTCGGGGAAGCACCGACAAGGGTCAGTGCAAGCCCGGGTCAGCCTCGGGTCGGGTATGTCCCCCTACAGACGGAATTTGGACGAAAAATAAAAGTGCCCAAGCATGCTCAAACATAGTCAAACAATGGTAGGAAACAGGTTCCCATACTTTTGTTAGAACTATGTTTGAACATTCCCCCTGTAGAGGGACAGGCCCGACATAAGGCAGCCAGGCGCTGCAGGATCCTGCAAGCTCCTGCAGGCTCCTGCTTGGTCCTGCGCCCCGACCTGAGGCAACAAGGGCGCCCAGCTTCGCGCTTCGCGCTGCGCGAAGCGCGAAGAACTTCGCGCCCTCGCGCCGCCCACCAGGGTTCTGGACACGAGCAATCAACACGAACAACACCTACTTAGGGGGATTCTGGACACGAACCATACAACATAAACAAACCATGATCTAAAAACAAAAGATGCCCACAAAAACGTCCTCAGACATGTTTTTACTATTTCTGGATATTCCCCCTGTAGAGGGACAGGCCATTATCCGAGACAGGGGGCCATTATCCGAGACAGGGGGGCCAGTTACGGATAATCAAAACATACTGTAAATAACAGAAAATGCTCACAAGAACATCCCCATACTATGTTCAAACTATTCTTGAATATCCCCCCTGTAGAGGGAGAGGCCCGACCTAATCCTGCAAGATCCTGCAGGATCCTCCGTGGTCCTGCGCCCCGGCCTGGGCCAGCAAAGGGCGTCCAGCTTCGCGCCCTCGCGCTGCGCGAGGGCGCGAATGGATGGGCTTCTTTTCCACCACCACCACCACCATAAGTTGGAGGGGGGAAGGAGGTGGAGGACGAGGACGAGGACGAGGACGAGGAGGAGGAGGAGGAGGAGGAGGAGGAGGACCACCTCCCCCTCCAACTTCTGGTGGTGGTGGTGGTGGTGGTGGTGGTGGTGGTAAACACGCCCATCACGAATAACTTCGCGCCCTCGCGCCGCCCCCCAGGGGAGAAGAGCAGGACGAGGAGAAATCGGAGCCCCACCGCGCAGCGCGAACAACTCCGCGCCCTCGAGGGCGCCCCTGGCGCCGCAGGATCCTGCAGGATCCTGCACTCTGGCGGACCCCCCTCGGCATGGGCCACCGAGTCCCTTCTTGCAGCTCGACGAGTCCTCCGACACGCCCAGGAAGCGGGAATGCTGGCTCGGTGGCGGGGCTGGCCGCAAGCAGCCGGATACGTAAGTAGACGTTCACGGATGCGGAGCTGTAGACTCAGACGTGGGGGAGGAGGAGGAGGAGGAGGAGGGATAGGAGGAGGAAGAGGAGGAGGAGGAGGAGGACGGAGGAGGAGGAGGAACGAGGAGGAGGGAGGAGGGAGGAGGGAGGAGGGAGGAGGGAGGAGAGGAGGGAGGAGGAGGGAGGAGGAGGAGGAGGAGAGGAGAGAGGAGGAGGAGCGAGGAGGAGGGGAGGAGGGAGGGAGGAGGAGGGGAAGGAGGAGGAGGAGGAGGAGGAGGAGGAGGAGGAGGAGGATGAGGAGGGAGGCGGAGAGAGGAGGAGGAAGGCGGGCGACAACACATGAGAGATGGGGGGGAACGGTTTTCCTTCGTTCCTGGTCGCGCGTCTGCTCTGGGATCGCCGCAGAAGTTGACCAGCAGTGGGCGTGGCGTTGGGGGAGTTGGGTCGAAGAACTTGGTCATCAGGGGATCAGCACGACTCCTCCTCCTCCTCCTCGGAGGAGGAGGAAGAGGAGGAAGAGGAGGAGGAGGAGGAGGAGGAGGAGGAGGAGGAGGAGGAGGAGGAGGAGGAGGAGGAGGGAGGAGGGAGGAGGGCGGAGGGCGGAGGGGCCCCCGATTTGGTACACCGCACGGGCCCAAGCCCTCGCCGCCTCCCCTGCCCGTGGACGCCGCGAGGCCCCGTGGCGCCCCTCTCCGCCTGCGGGCAGCGGCCCGCGGTCTGCAGGAGGAGGAGGAGGAGCAGGAGGAAAAGGAGGAGAAGGAGGAGGAGAAGGAGGAGGAGGAACAGGAGGAGCAGGAGGAGGGCCCCGCGGGCGGCTGGAACGCCTCGACGCACTTGCCGGTGGCCGCCTTGTCGGCCTGCGCCGGGGGGGCAGTGCAGGCAGCAGAACGTCCACCCTCATAACATATCACTCGGCGGTGGACCAACCTCCCTGTAGCGAGACTCTCTCTAATGAAAGCGGCTTGGGACCGAAACCGACGGACCTGGACCCGCAAAGATGACGGCCGCGACGCCCTCTCGCGAACCGAAAACGACCAACTCGCTAATCGACCTGTCAGGGTAGGAGGTCTATCAACCTCCGAATCACCCCGACACGCGAAGCCGTTTAGTGAAGGCACCCAGAGAGGGAAGCGAACAGGGCAGAGCTAGCTGTTTAATAGATGCCCAGGGCCGTTTAGTAAACGCCAGATGTCGGGTCCAGGTTTTTGTTCCTCCCTTGATGGAGGGTGGGTGCGGAAGAAAACAAACGACGCCGCCCCATCTACGGCCCCACGGGCTTAGCGTATAAACCAGGAGATCCGGAGTAAGTTTTCGCGCGGTGTGCGCCACAGCGCCCGGCGGGCCGCACCGCAACATGGAGGGCCGCAGGTGGGGTGGTGTCGTTTGTTGCGTGGTCGACAGAGAAAGGCCGGCAGGGCAGGCAGCAGGGGCGAGAATGGGGTGGATTGGGGGGGGGGGGGCGGGGGGGGGACGAGGACGCTCAAGATGATGGGATATGAGATCTCGGAGAGCGTCACGCCCAAAGCCCAAGCACACCCCGCACCCAGGCGAGGCGCGACACGCGCGACGCGTGGGGCCCCAAGACGCCCGACCCGCCTGGACGTTGTCCCTCTCCAGCGTCCCTCCTCCGTTTCCCTTTTTCCTTTTCTGCAAGCTTGCACGAACAATCGTCAAGAGGATCGCGTGCTCATTGATTCGTAACTCGGGGATGGACAGACCTCCCTTTAGCAAAACGTGGTTTAGTGAAAACGACCTCGGGCCCAAACCTGGCGGGCGCAAGCCTGGAAAATAACGGCCGCGGCGCCCTCTCGAGAACCGAAAACGGACAATTCACTAATCGACGTGTCACTATTGGGGGTTCTGTCCAGCCCCGAGTAACAACGATGAGTGCTGAAAATCTTCGCTGGGGGGCCGCCGAAAGGCCGCATCGTGTATGCTGACCAAAACGGACAGTTGCGCAATGGCGCGCGGGGGCTATGATGTCAACGCCTCCTCACCGACCTTGATAAACAAATCGACGTTGCTAAAAACGGAAAGCCGTACACAGGCTCAGGCGCATACGATAACTGGTAATATTATGTTGACATTGGAATATGGCCTGCACAAGTCAAAACGTAAGTATGCCTACGGCGGGATACCCTTTGCAGTCGACTTGCCACGCCAATGCTGGGTCGTCAATGGAACAATATTAAAGGGGGAATCAGACCGAATGGGAACTCTCCAACATGTCCGCTGGAGATCTCGGCCGCGACCTCGCGCGTTCCTAATTACCCATTCCGGGTGCTGTGGCGTTGTTTCTGGCGCTGTCTCATGTAAGTCTTTGGTCACCATTGAACGTACAGGCATCGACGTGGAAACGGACAATCACACTATTACATTGAAGGGGCTATTTGCTAAAAGTAGCGAGTTGTTAGAACCTGCTTTTGCTCAGCTGCGCGACAGCCGCGGCGGCGCGCCCGAATGACGGAGCCACGTCATGGACTCGCGCCCTGGATCTCCTGTCAAGGAGCACCTACAAATCGCTGAAAACATGTCCAAGGGTCGCCGCGGCACAATGCAATGCGGCCCTGATTACTCGAGCAAATGCACCGCAGGGGTGAATTTGGCAGGAAAGGCAAGGGCCCCAGCCCCCCGACCGGGCCTTGGCCCCGCATCACCACCGCATCCTCGGGACTTCAGTAAGGCAGACCGCGGACATGATCAAAACGAGGAAACGGCCTTACGAAAGCGAGACACCGGCTTATCTAAAGCGAGGAAGCGGCTTTGCTAAAGCAAGGAAGCGGCTTTAGTAGAGACGCGCCGCTCGATACATTTCGAAAAAAAAAACGACGTTTCGCTAAAGCGAACAATGAGATTTGGTAGAGCGGGGGAACGGCTGGGGTAAAACTGCGCGCCAAAAAAATGCCTCACATAAAATCTGTCCTGGGGCTCCAGGAGCGAGGACGGGGCGCAACTTCGTCCATGGGCCCGGGCCCCGTCGCCGCCGGCTCCGCGATGTTCGTCGTCGCCGCCGTCGTCGTCGCCGTCACCGCGGGCGCTGCCGTCGTCGTCGCCGTCGCCGTCGTCGTCGCCGCGACGCCCGCGCATTCACGCTATTACCAGCGGCGGGTCGCGCGCGACCGCGCGCGCCACTGCGCTCGCATCTCCGCTCGTCCGACGGGGGCCCAGGCGGACATCATGTTTTTTGTTGCGCCCACAACTCGTTTGAAATAATAATGGGGAAAAAACGCCTCTGATCTTCGCCACCGTCGATGTACGCTCCGAGATATACGATGCCGGTTGCCCGCGTTAGCGTTTCGACTGCACCGTCCTCGATGGGGTGGCGACGCCCAGAGGTTGCCCAGAACGCGCGGTCTCGATGAGGTAACATGGGCGTCGTGCGACGGCCTCCGCGATTGTCACTGCGCCTCCTGTGAGGCTCACGGGAGTTTTGGGCCACCGCACACTTCTGGCCCCCACACCACAACGGGCGGTCAAAGCATGGCAGGTGCACCTGCCAGAGAATCTTGCCGCCGTGCCGCAAAATATTGACCCGCTTGAACTTCATCGGGTGGAGCCTGTGCCGGTCGCACATCCTCTACAGTCGGGGCGTTGACCTCAGGAACCCTAAATAAGGAACGAGGCCCCCTTTTTCCACAAGTTAAACTTCGATGTCCCATCGAAAACATAGGGAAAACCTGAGGCAAGCTGTGAAACAGTCAAGGAACACCGAGCCCCTCGAGCCCCTCCCCAACGAAAAGGGGTCCTTCTCCAGCGCCCCGACTGTGGGGACGTCTCCTTTGGCCGAGGGTCCCTGCAGGAATCCCCAGCGGCAGGGCCGAGGGCGGCGGAGGGCGCGCGGGGGCGCGGGCGGGCCTCCGCGCACTCCCGCTGGGAGGCCTCCAGCGCCCTCCTGAGGCAGGGCCGCCGCCCCGCCTCCGCGGAGATCTCCGCCGACCCCCTGCTGCTGCGCTCGTCCTTCCCCCCCTGCTGCTCCCCAGCATCCAGCTCACCCCTCGACCCCTCCACTCCTCAACGCCGCCGCTCCTGGGCTCCTGAACTCCTCAAGGCCTCCTCCTCAACTTCTCTTCCTCCTCCTCCTCCTCCTCCTCCTCGTCCTCCTCCTCCTCCTCCTTCTCCTTCCCCTGCTCCTTCTCCTCCTCCTCCTCTCCTCCTCCTGTTCCTCCTCCTCCTCCTCCTCATCCGCCGCCGGTTCCTCCTCCCTGTCCTGCTCACACTTGCTCTCCCACTCTCCCTCACCAACCGCCTCGCCCTCCCGCTCGTCATCCTAATCATTCCTCCACGTCCTCCTGCTTGCTGTTGCTACTGCTGCTGGCGCTTCTCCTCCTCCTCGTCCTCCTCCTCCTCCGCCTCCGCCTCCGTTTCATGTTCCTTCTCCTCCTCCTCCCTTCCTCCTGCTCCTCCTCCTGCTCCTCCTCCTCCTCCTCCTCTCCTCCACCTCCGCCTCCTCCGCCTCCTCCTCCTGTTCTTCCTCCTCAGTTTACGCCCATCATCATCACCTTCACCATCATCCATCGTGCACAGCATGCCTCTTCTTCCTCCTCTTCCTCCTCCTCCTCCAGCTTTCCCTTACTCCTTCCCCTCTTTCTCCCGATCTCCTTCTGGTCGCAATGTCTGACGAGCGGCCATCCGGGTAATCCCCGTCCCGCTTGCTGCCGCTGCTTCGCTGGCTTCTGCATGTGGTTCTGCTGCCTCTCTTAATCTGCCCAAATGTCCCCCCTTTCCGCGCATCCCTCTGCTCACCTTCCTCCTCCTCCTCCTCCTCCTCCTCCTCCTCCTCCTCAGTCCGCTCCTATTATACATAACTCATCCCTCTCACATCCCCAGACGTGTTGGTAGGACGGGCTGGGCGTTTCGCCTGCGATTTCATCACATGTATTATCCAGAAGCTTGGAATTTGCAACAGCTTCAAGGATGGAGGTCGGGTGGTTTTCAACATGTGGCACTCGCCTTAGCGCCGCGCACATTCGTCTTTAAACTGGTGCACCTTCAGAAGAGGGTAGGTCCTTTTCAACATGTAGCTCTAGCTTCAGCGCCGTTTTATATATATATATATATATATATACTTATACAAAGAATGTAACATATTCAAAGATGAAGGCGGGTCCTTTTCAATATGCTCTAAGCCTTGGCGTCGCGAACATGCGTTTTTTTTAATTAAACAGTTTCAAGGATGGAGTGCGGCTCCTTTTCAATATGTGGCGCTCGCCCCAACGCCGCGCGTGTCCATCTTACCGTTGCAACATGTAAGTAATAGACTTGAACTCCTGGGAAATGGTGTTCTGTCACGGTTTGAGACTGTCAGGACGCTACCGTCACGTTGATTGGCGATGTTGCAGTGCCAGGACTTGCGTTCTGGTAAGATTTAGGACTGCCAGGATGCAACTGTCACGTTCTTTCCTGGCGTTGAAATCCCAGGGACTGTGTTTTGGCACGTGGTTGTTTTTCACTGGGGCACATCGCGCAACGAAAGGAACATCTTGTAGGGACTCATGAAGAGGGGCCTTGAAGGGAGGGTTTAGTGCGACATCGTTGATGCGTCTTGGTTTTACCCTGGTCATCTTCTTTTTCCTGCTTCTCCTCCTCCACCTCCTCCTCACTCTCGTCCAATTCCCCATCTTCCCCTTTTCCGCTCTCGCTGAGCCTGCATCCTGGCCTGCACTTGCCCATCCTCAGCTTCCTGCTCAGTTTCCGCGGCCCCGGCCCACTTGTGATCTGCGAGGCAGTGGTCGATGACCTGCTTCTCGCACATTTTTCGCCGCTCCTGGCAGAGGAGGGGTAGGAGCTCCACCTCCTCCTCCTCCTCCTCATCCTCCTCCGCCTCTTCACCCCCAGTTTCCCTCATTCTCTCGCGACTCCCCGTCCTCGTCCTTCCCCCCATGTTTGTTTCCTTTTCCCTTCCCCTCCCCCGCACAACTCCCAGTTCACTCGTCCTCCTCCTCCTCCTCCTCCTCCTACTCCTCCTCCTCCTACTCCTCCTTCTCCTCTTCCCCCTCGCCTTCCTACTCCTCCTCATCCTCCTCCTGCTCCTCCTCATCGTTATCGTCATCATCATCACCACCATCATCAGCACCAGCATCAGCATCAGCATCATCATCACCACCACCATAATCATCATCATCATCAGCAACATCATCATCATCATCATCATCATCATCATCAGCAGCATCATCATCATCAGCATCATCATCAGCATCATCAGCATCATCATTATCATTATCATCATGATCATGATCATGATCATGATCATCAGCATCAGCATCAGCATCAGCATCAGCATCATCATCAGCATCAGCATCATTATCATCGTCATCAGCATCATCATCCCCACCCCTCCCTTCCTCCTCCCTCCCCCCCCTCTCCCTCAGGAGCAGCTCCTCCCCGCCTCCAGGGCCGTTGCTGGACCCCGCCCTGCCGCCGTGACATGCGGCGTCCAGACCCAGGGCGGCAAGCGTCAGCTGGCTGGCCGGCGGCCAGCGGGCTGGCCGCCTGTCGCCTGAGAGGGGCCCGGGTTCCGTACTGGGAGGCATGGCGGCTATGGCTTCGGCCGAGGGGCAACGACAGGGGGGGATGGGCATCGGGGGGGATGCATCCACCTGGAATTGGCGATACATCGTCGATAGATCGGCGATAGAACCCCGACAGTGAATCCGCACCTTCCTGGGCGGGGTGGGGCTATCGGGCCCCTGTCGGCAATCCATAGGCGATTGGGGTCGATGCATCCCCCCATGCCTATCCCCCCCTATCGTTGCCCCTGATCGGCAGGCTCGCCGTGGGCCGGCGGCCCCGTGGGCTGGTGCGCGGTGGCAGCACCTTGGGGCGGCTGGCCTGGCGGTGGGGAACCGCCTGAAAGGCGATGGGCTCCTCCGGAGAGGTGCCGACTCGCGGGGCACCGGCCGCCCGTGGGGTGCGCGCGCACAACGAGACTTGGAAGCGGGAAGGGTGCCCTCAGCCGCACCGAGGTCGCCTGGCCCGCTCCCACGTGGGCGGGCTCTGGGCGCAATAGGGCTGCCCACCGCCGCGGCTTCACTGCTCGCCGGAGCCTTCGCGCCCCACTGGGGGGCGCGCGAGTGAGGGCCGCGGCGCTTGGTGCAGGTGCGGGCTGCGGGTTCCACACGCACACATGCACTTTTTGGCGTCGCGGCCATGCGCGCGGCGGCGCGGCATAGGCCGAGCGCGTCGGGAGTGCGGGCGCGAACGGACCGGTTCACGCAGCGTGGAAAAAACAAATCTACCCGGAGGGGATTGGCAACAACAGTCCTCCTCCTCCTCCTCCTCCTCCTCCTCGTCCTCCTCCTCCTCCTCCTCGCGAGAGGGCAATCGCGAGGGAATGAAGGGGTAACGGAGAAGGACTTCTGGAGCGCAGGGAGACCACCCTCAGAATAAGCACCCTGGCAAACGATACCACTCAGGCAACGCACCCAAGGAAGGAATCGAACAGGACAGGGCTTTTGAGAGAACGCCCAGGGCCGCCTCGTGAGCGCTCATGGCGGGGGTCGGGTGGGCTTTTCTCCCCTCAGAAGCATCAGCGCGACAGTGACGAGTCGAGGCACCAAGTAAGGCCCACACACATACACTGTTTGGGTCCGAGGCGCAGAGGCTCCTCAGGCGCGAGCAGCAGATGGAAGTGCGAATTGCGATCGAGCGCTGTCGATATCGCAGTGTACCAACGCCGCACATTGCAACATGCAGGCGATGAATGGGCACGAGGAAGTGCAAGTCCAAACGAAGCATGCAGCGGCCAGAACACGAGGAGAGTACTCGATTCAAGAAAAACTGAACGCGACAGCCTGGAACTGCGGCCACTGAATCACCAGAGCGGTGTTGGACAATGAAGCGTCAAGAATGAGGCACATACTTCGAAGTCCGCGGCGCAAGGGATCCTCAGGCGCGAGCAACATGTGGAAATGCGAATTGCGATCGAACGATGTCGAAGGCACAGTGTAACTCCAAAACGTGCACCCTGTCAATGCAGCGATGGGTGCTGCGAAGGAGGAGCTGCGAATCCAAACGAGAGGAAGCACACACACACATAGACACACACACAGAGAACAACATAAATATAGATGGCGCCTGGCAGAAGGCTGCCGCCTCCGCGGCGCTCTCATCGACCTTGCCGTCCTCGCGGGCGCAGGGGCGCGGGGGGAGAGGAGGAGGAGGAGGAGGAGGGGGTCGACCTTACCCTCCTCGCGGGCGAAGGGGCGCGGGTGGGGGGGGCGAGAAGAAGGGGGCGCACGGGAGGGAGAGGAGCGAAAGGCGGGGGGGGCGCGGGGAGCTGCAGGAGGAGGAGAAGAAGGACCAGTGCAACCCAAAGAGTCATCAACGATGTTGGGATAAACCCTCCCTCCAAGCTCCCTCTTCATAGGCCCGTACAACGGTTCATTTCAACTGAGGGAACTGCCTCGTTGGAAGACAACCGTTGAAGACCTTGAAGCATGCCAAAACATTGTTCTCTGGATCCCAACGCCACGGATCAACCTGACGGTTGCGTCTTGACGATCCTAAATCATGCCAGAACGCCATTCCTGGGACTTCAACACCGCGAATCAACATGACTGCTGCGTCCTCATAACTCTGAATCCTTCCAAAACGCCGTTCCTGGTGCGCTGATCATGGGAATCCGTGAAACTCTTGCATTTGTTAAAGCGAGTGTGCGCGACGCTGAAGAGAGAGCCACATGTTGAAAACAGCCCCACCTCAATACGTGAAACTCTTGCACATGTTCCAAACGAATGTGCGCGGCGCTAAGGCGAAAACCAGATTTTGAAAACGGCCCGCCCTCAATCAGTGAAGCTCTTGCAACACCAAAATGACAAATGCGAGCGGCGCGAAGGCGAGAACCACATTTTGAAAACGGCTCTTGCAAAGTTAAAAAACGAATGTGCGCGGCGCTGAGGCGAGAATCACATTTTGAAAACGACCCGCCCTCCATCAGTGAAACAGTTGCCAGTGTCTAAGCTTCAGGGGCATAAGTGATGAGTACATCTCAGGCGAAACGCCTGGCCCGCCCTAAAAATGGGCATCGGGGTGGGACAGGGAGGAATTATTCATAAGGAAAAGAAATGGAGGACGACGACGACGACGAAAAGAGCACAGCGGGAGGCAGTCGCAGAGAGGGGGGGAGGGGAAGGAAGAGAGGGGATGGGCAGGAGAGGGGGACGTGGGGAGAGAACGGCAAGGGGAAGAGGTGGAAGGAGGAGCGAGGAGGCAGAGGAACGACGAGGGGGCACAGGAGTGGAAGGAGGAGACGATGGAGGAGGGAAACCGAGGGAGGCGGGAGGCGGGTGGAGGTGACGACACCTCGGAGGCCCTCCTCGCGGACGAGGGGATGAGGCTGAATTCGCCAAACTCATTCCTGCTCTTGCCATGTTCCTCCTCCTCCTCCAATTGTTTCTCCTCCTCCTCGTCATCATCATCCTCGTTCCCTTTCCCCGACTTCGGAGGGGGTACTCCCATCCTTCCAGAAGCAAATGCAGGCAGCGCACTGGAGCGGGGCGGAGACAACACTGGCAGTCCCTGACCGGCCACAAATGATGCTTGATCCCTGGCACCCCCACACATTCTACCAACGCAACGTCCACCATCCGCTCCACGCACTGCCCCCTGTCCGCGAGTCCCGCACTGGCTTGTGGTCCTCAACCTTCCCGTTCTCGCACCCTCTCGTGGCACTACTCCTGCTGCGGCCCGTGGCAGAAACGCAAAGTGCACGCTCTCCGTCTTGCAAGTCGCCTCCGCCTGCTCGCAGGAGGACTGGCGCGGCGGGTGTGCGCACAGGACGAGCGCAAAGGAAGCGGCCGCAGAGGACCAACTGATGCTTAGAGTCGGGGTGTTGACCTAAGGAACCCTAAAGAGGGAACGAGGCCTTCTTTGTTTCATGAGCTGGATTTCGGTTCCCATCGAACACCTAGAAAGGCAACCTAAGGCACACTGTAAAACAACTGAGGAGCACTGAGCCCCTCCCAAACGAGAAGGGTTCCTTCTCAAGCGCCCCGACTGCATGAATTCGGGGTGAGTCGGGCTTTAGTGGGCCCTAGAAACGACAGGGCAGTTTTTTTACCGGTTCCGTTTTGCTGTTTTTTTGCCGGTTCCGACGCTGTTTTTTACCGGTTCCGTCGCCGTTGTTTGACCAGTTCCGGCTCCGGTTCCGATCCTGGAGCAGTTGTTTTGCCGTTTCCGGTCGCTGTTTTTTTGCCGTTTCCATTTTCAAGGGGCATTTTTTGGGGAAACGGTGAAAAAACGGCCCTGCCGTTTCCGGGGCCCACAAAGAATCGGGCCCGCGCTAACTTGGATCAGGGATCCGTGGACCTGGAGGCGCCAGATCCACGGGTCGGGAGAGATGCCCCCCGAAGCACGGCGCCAGCGACGCCTTCTTATCTGGCGACGGAGCGCGTCGATGTCTGCTTGGGAAACGGGAAGCGGGAAGCGTCGCTGGTTCGCGCACAACGGTTTACTCGCCATCGCTCGGACGTCCATTCCCTGTGTATTTTGTTGGGTATCGCGCGTGTTTTGTTCGCCAAATGGTCAAGGATGCTCCTCGATGGTCCTCGCCGAAGGAAGAATGCACACGTCCGAGCGATGCCAAGTTCATGTGTGCGCTTCCTCGGGTGCGAGTGTGGGCTGGCTTCCCCATCGCCCAAAAAGGAAATGGGTTAATAACTATGAGCGCCCCCCAGCCAGGACTGTGATATTGTGTGGCAGCCTATGAGAACTCGGTGGCGAAGGTAGGAGCTTTGCAAGCATTGTCTGTTCTTCATCGTCCCGCACCCTGTAACCACTATGCCTGGAGATAGGGGTCATTGGCTGGTGAAACACCTTGTCTCCCGAGGTGACCGGTGCGCTTTCAAACCTCTCCCGTCCCTCCTCCTCCCCCACCTCTCGAGCAGGAGACCGACTACAGAATTGATGTACCTCAAAATCGCACCAGCCCTCTGTGCGTAGGTTGTTGAACGAAATTTCTCTTCTCTATGCCAAAACCCCTTCTTCACCTGCTCGGAGGAGGGGTGTACCCCTCCCCTACGTCCTCCCCTGGGCCTGGGTGGGGGGGAACCGGGTAGTCAGACCCAAGATGGCTCCAACAGATAGCCCAAGATGACCTCCAAGATGGCTCCAGATGCCTGAAGATGGTTCAAAATAGTCTCAGACAAACATCCAAGAGGTCTCAAGACGGCCCGAAGACGGTTCAAGTGCCCTCCGAGCTCTCCAAGGACCCCCCAACAAGAAGCCAAAATCCTTCCAAAACCTGCGGAGCATCCTTGTTTTTGTCTTTTCGCCCTTTCGCTTCCGATTGGCGCTTGAGGCCTCCAGATGGCCCCGAGACGGCCGAATAGAGTCCCAAGAGGGGCCCAGGAGGGCCCCAAGAGGGGGCCCTTGCGGAATCTGCGGAACTATAAGTATGTTTGCTTCGTTCGCAAATTCGACGAGACTGTCGCTTCACTCTCGGGGGCACGTCCATTCTGCAGTCGATCTCCTGCTCGACTCCTCTCCCACCCTCCCCCCGCCCCAAACATCCAGCTGCTCACATTTTTTCGATGCGTGGGCCCCGGAGGTCCGGACCACCTCCCCGGCACCGGCTTCTTGTCTTGAGCCGTTCTTTGACGCTCCCGAGGCCCGGCGAGGGCCCCCGGAGAGCGAAAACGGGCAAAAACCACCTGCTCCAATTTTTTTCAAGGGGGGGGAGCGTCGGATCTCGGATTATGTCGGGCCTGTCCCCCTACAGGGGGATTTTCGACGAAAAATAAAAAATACCTAAAACATACTCCAAGAAGGTAATCAAAATACTCAAAACATAGTCCCCTGACTATTTTTGGATTATTTTTGGACTATTTTTGGGGTATTCTTTAATTTTCGTCGAAAATCCCCCTGCAGGGGGACAGGCCCGACTTAAATCTCGGGGGCCTCGTCCCCCTCGGCGCCGCGCACCGGGTGCAGAGGCCGCCTCGGAGGGCGGCCGAGGGGCCTCCCCGAGGCCCTGCGAGGCCCGCGGAGAAGCCGCGCGCGTCTGCGCAGGGAGGAGGAGGAGGGAGCAGGGGGAGGAGGAGGAGGAGGAGGAGGAGGAGGAGGAGGAGGAGGAGGAGGAAGAAGGAGGAGGAGGGAGGAGGAGGAGGAGGAGGAGGAGGAGGAGGAGGAGGAGGAGGAGGAGGAAGAAGAGGCCCTCCGAGCCTTCAGAGGCGGCCCGCCGCCCGCCCCCGCAATGCTGGGCCTGTTTTCCACCACCACCACCACCACCACCACAAGCTGGAGGGGGGAAGGAGGTAGAGGAGGAGGACGAGGAGAAGGACGACGAGGAGGAAGAGGAGGAGGAGGAGGAGGAGGAGGAGGAGGGCCCCCCCCCCCACTCCTGCTTATGGTGGTGGCGGTGGAAAACAAGCCCACCACGCCAGGCCCCGCCTCGCCGCCGAGAGCCCCGCCGCCTCCGCCGCCCCCCCCCCCGCCGCGGCGGGCGATCGTCGCGCAGAGGCGGCCGCCCCGCCGCCGCGCCTGGCCCCGAGGGGGCCGTTCCCCCTTGCTGTCGTCGGGGGGCTGCACGGGTGGGGGGCACAGGGCAAGGCTAGGAGAGGTAGCCACCGGGAGGTTTTCGTCGGGAAGACTAATTAGGGAGGATTGAGCCCCACCGGGGGGCTGTTACGCCAGATTGAGCCTCGGATTGAGCAGGAGCGAGCCGGCTCATGCGGGACTCAACCAGATTAAGCTGGATTTCGGACTGGTGTGAAGTCAGAATATGACCTCCCAGGAGTTGCATCCGAAGACAAGGGCAGGAGCAAGGAAACGCGACAACCACCCCACCAGGGAGTCACGAGCGGGGGGAGCCAGGGGGAGGGGGGCCCCCCTGGTGGTGTGGGTCCCCCCCCCTCTCGCTCGAGGCATACATCCCCTATCTCCCCAGCGCGAGGCGCCGTCGTCGTGGACCTCCTCGCTGGAGGTGGCCACCCTGGTGGTGGTGGCGGTGGTGCCACTGCGCCTTCCCCCAACGGAAGGGTGGGTCGAAAGAAATTCAATCCGGACGGCGCCTGGAATACGGAAATGTAGCCATCCTGCTTCTGTATGGAGAGCCGTCGTCGTCGTCGCTGTCGTCGTTCAGGGTCGGCGGCACGGCAGGACCGACCACTACGATGTTGAAAACGAAACGGGGTTGACAACGAACGACGACATGAGGCCCGATGTTTAAAACAAACGTTTAAAACGACGCCGGTGCAAACCGAAAACGAACGACGAAACGGGGCGTCCAAAACAACAACAAACAACGACACGAAACAACGAAAAACGGCACGAACAACAAACTAAGGGAAAACACAGCTAAACAGCGGTGTGGTCGGTCCTTGCGGCACGGGCCATGAGGCCTCTCCAGTAATCGGGGGCGGCAAAGAGGGGGGCGTCCAAGAGGGGGGGGGGTGCAAATAATGACCAGCGGCATGTGCGCGGCCCAGGGGGGGCCGGGGACGTATTCAAACAAGAAGAGGCGCCATGAAATCTGTGGAAATATCAAGGCTCCCGTCATGATATCCACGCCCCCATCACCCTCCTCTTTGCCGCCCCCGAAGTAAGGAACGAAAGAGCCTCCCTGACCACGGCGTCGAGACTCGGCTTAGGTGGGGCGTGTCCCCCTACAGGCGGACTTTGGACGAAGAAAAACAAGTACCCCCAGAATGCACCCAAACTATGCAAAAATGACAAAAAATGTGGTCGACCATTGTTTGACTATTTTTCAATCGTCCCCATACTATTTTGTTGACTATAATCGTCCCCCTGTCGAGGGGCAAGCCCGACTTAAGATTCGGCCTCAAGGAGGCTCCCCGATGCAGACTGTCGGAGGCGCGCAAACATGGATTAGCGATCAATGGATTTGGCGCGCGGTCGCCAATCCATGGATCGGGGGAGGTGCCCTCCCTAAAATGCAGCCGGTGCCGCCTGATTCGGCGGCGGTAATCCGCGATTTTCCATGGAAACGGGACTGGTCGCTAATCCACGCCCCCTTGATCCATGTTTGCGATCGCCTGAGACTGGAGGATCGGCCCAGAAATCGGAGCTCCCCGTAAGCCAGAAGTGGTTCTCGAATCAACATTAGAGGCTTGGAAATGGACACCAACACACACACACACACACGGGATTGCCTCCACCGGGGGAAACTGATCCTAGAGTTCGGTGTTGGTGATAATTTTTCGGCCGTCTCGGAAGCCGGAATGTTACCACCATCACCGAGATCGGGATACTCCTGCATCGGTCAAGGCACGCCGCCGATTTCGGTTGAATGTCAACTTCTAGGCCTCCGACAGCAATCTTGACTGCAGAGGCCTCCTGCTGGACTCGCTCCCAAGCCCCACTCTGGGCAACCTCCTCTGCACGCGACGTCCTGACCGTAGAGCTGGCGGGAGAGCTGGCAGAATCGAATCGATACTTCGGATCTGCAATCGAACTGAATCGGATCGGCGGACATCGCCAGCAGAATCGGGCAAAGTCGAATGGGCGGAAATCGGCAGGCTAGTAGGCCTCCATTGGGAAATCGGAGCTCAAATCGGAATCCCAAGTCGAATCGAATCGGAATCGGAGGCCATCGAAACCGAATCGAATCGAATCGGAGGAATCGAAGTGAGCCCTGAGCTGGTGGGGCGCGGGCCATCACCGACCGACGCAATGCTGCCGCCGTCAGAGCGCACCTGTCAGAACGCACCTTCTGTTGACAACACGCACCTTCCGCTCTGCCAGCCATACTTCAACACTACCTACATACACACATGAACACATACAAACATGTATTCATGTATGTATGACCATACATATGCAAAGCTGCATTGGCGTTTCGCGCCATGCATCTTGGTCCTTCACGTCCAACGTGCAGGGATAATGAGAGAAAGGTAGGTCAATCAAACCTTCGACCGCTCTTGGTTGCAATGCCTGCCATCACCGTTATCATATTGGTGTTCCTTCTCCTTGTCTCATGTGTCCTCTTCCTCTTCCTCGGTCTCGCCTTACTTGCCCCGCGAAACTTTCCACGTCCTCCTCAGAATTGTCTGCGGAGGCTCTTCCGAGGCGAGCTTCTGGAGGATCTCGCGAAAAACTGTCAGGGGCTCCTTGAGCGACTCTGGAGACATCCATGGCTCTTTTTGGCGGCCTCTGGTGTGGTCCTCGGGCCACCATGCCGCGAACCGTGGTCTCGGGTCACGGTTTGAATGCTTCCGAAGGGAGTCTTGGGGCAATTTTGGGCCGTCATGGGGCCCTCTGTGGGCAGTTTCTGAGCGCTCTTGGGCCATCTTGGGGCTCTTTTTGAATGTCCGAAGCTTTCTGGTGGTCGTCTCAGAACTCCCTGCGCCCACCCATTCCCCGAGCCAGTCGTCTCCTGTCCCTGCGCTACCCCTTTCCTTGGGCCCGCCCTCCCTCCTCCCCTTTCCCCATCCTCCCTGGGCCCGTCGCCGCTCCCCCCCACTTTTCCACGGCCTCCCCCGATCCCTTCCCTGCCTGGGGTGGGGGTCCCGGGGGGGTCCCGCGTCAGATGCGACTCCCCGCCTGAATCGTTTTTTGACGGTCCTGGGGCCCGGCGAGGGCCCCCCGGGCCGAACATAACGAAAAACCTCCCGTCCTGATTTTTGTCACGACGCCATCATGTCTGGGCCCCAGGACCCAGAATGTCGAGGTCCTCGGGACCCTCCAGGACACAGCCCCGAGAACCTCCTCCCAGGACACAACACCAGGAACCAGCCCCCAAAGAGTCCAGACTCCCAGGCCCCGGGGCCCCAGGACCATTCCTGCACCATGCGGCCCTGCTCGCCTCGTCCTGCTCCTATTCATTTCCCCCCCTCTCCTCCTCCTCCTCCTCCTCCTCTTCCTCCTCCTCCTCCTCCTCCTTTTCCTCCTCCTTTTCCTCCTCCTTTTCCTCCTCCTCCTCCTCCTTCTCCTCCTCCTCTCCTCCTTCTCCTCGTCCTCCTCCTCATCATCATCCTTCTCCTCCTCCTCCTCCTCCTCCTCCTCCTCCTCCTCCTCCATCTCCTCCACCTCCTGTTCCCCCTCCTCCTCCCCCCTCCTTCTCCCTGACGTCCTCCGCCTCCTGTTCCTCAACTTCCTTGCCCTGCTCGTCGTTTCCGTCTGCAGAGTCGGCAGCACCAGCCGTGCCGTAAGGCTTTCGCAATCATACCTGAAAACCAACGGGAAATCAACTTTTTCTGCGTTTCGACAGCCTCTTGAGGGTGATGTGTGGGCCGTCTTCGGGCGTCTGGCGGGGGGTCTGGGGCCGCTAGAGGCCATCTTGGACCGTCTTGGGGGTCTCTTGGAACCGCCGCCGACCCACTTGCATGGCTGGGCAGGGACTTCCAGAGGCCCGGAAATATCGCGGGGCCCTCTGAGGGGGCGTCCAAGAGCCCCGGACGCCAGGGATCCCGTTTCGGGGAGGGGGGGGAGATTCCGCAGGGTCCAAGATGATAGAAATATAGAAAAGGGAATAGATAAATGAATGCATAATTTGCATACGCCTCCAACAATCGTCAGGCACTGGTGGCTAACACGCCTCAAGTTGCTCGGCACAGCGTTCTTCCAGCCCCCGCCCGATGAGCATGAGCTGACACACGGGAACCTGGGCAAACACACTCCACAACTCCACGGATCGACGCGGTGCCAGAGGAAGGCGGCGGCACCGCGGCACTCCCCGGCGCCCCCGAGGCTTTCCGAGCGACCTCCCCCCGAGGCCCTCGGTGCGCGTATAGGGGGGGGGGGGGGGTCGCACGTCCCGGTGCCCTGCCGGAAGGCCCCGAGGGCCCCGTCCGCCCCGCGGCTCTCTTGGGGGCCTCTTTCTTTGGGCCAGGGGGGCCCGCCCGGGAGACCCAAAGCCCGGGGAACAGTTCCAGTCTTCGCGGGCAATAGTTACATCCATAGCCAATGCGTCTTGGACTTTCTTGGAAGGGGCGCCGCAGGGCCGACGCGCACTGGATATGGATAAAATGTAGCCTTTGGGGGCCAAATTTTTAATCCATGTCCAGTGCGCCTCATGCTTTTTGGGGAAGAGAGCCGGAACTCCAAGACGCACTGGATGTGGATATAGACATTGCCCGCAGTCTTCCTGAAGAATTGCACCAGGGAGAAGCCTCAATCAATGGATGATTTGAAATGGGATCGATGCAAAGATCGATAAGAAGATGGACAGGGAACCCGGGAACCGAACACCCACCGAAATCGGCTTGGGACCAATCACCAGGATTCCGGGAACCTGGGCCCGGGAACTCAGCCTGCCACCAAAAACGGCGGGAAACTTTCGTCAAATCTTTCAATTCCCGCTAGGACCCCTGTGCAAGCACTGATTAGGGAAGGACAGGTAATGGACCAGTCACATGCAGGCGTGGGGGTGCCGCAAGGCAGATGGGACAAAGGGTTGTGGGGTGTGTGCCGAAATAACCGCCGTGGGAGGAAGAGGAGGAGGAGGAGGAGGAGGAGGAGGAGGAGGAGGAGGAGGAGGAGGAGGAGGAGGAGGGGGGGACGAGGAGGAGGAGGAGGAGGAGGACGGAGAGGAGAGGAGGAGGAGGAAGAACCCGACGAATACGAGTAGGTTTCGCCGGCCTGGGCGCCCCCAGACCTCCTCTCCTCCCCCCTCCTCCCTCGTCCCCCCTCTTCCCCCCTGACTCCTCACGCGGTTCGTGGCCCCATAAGGAGCTCCACCGAAAGCCCCACTGGGAGGGTCCGCCTGGCGCACTCGCGCCATCCCTATCAAATAATACCACGCGGCGCATCGCTCGTGGCCCCATAGGGAGCTCCACCGAAGGCCCAAGTGGAAAAAAAAGTTCGCGTAGCGCACTCCCGCCATGCCTCTCAAATGATACCACGCGGCGTATCGCTCGTGGTCCCATAGGGAGCTCCACCGAAGGACCCACTGGGAGGGTCCGCCTGGCGCACTCGCGTCATCCCCACCAAATAATACCACGCGGCGCATCGCTCGTGGCCCCATAGGGAGCTCCACCGAAGGCCCCAGTGGGAGGGTCCGCGTGGCGCGCTCGCGTCATCCCTATCAAAGGACTACCATGCGGCGCATCGGTCGTGGCCCCATAGGGAGTTCCACCGAAGGCCCAAGTGGAAAAAAAAAGTTCGCGTAGCGCACTCCCGCCATGCCTCTCAAATGATACCACGCGGCGTATCGTTCGTGGCCCCATAGGGAGCTCCACCGAAGGACCCACTGGGAGGGTCCGCCTGGCGCACTCGCGTCATCCCCACCAAATAATACCACGCGGCGCATCGTTCGTGGCCCCATAGGGAGCTCCACCAAAGGCTCTAGTGGGAGGGTCCGCCTGGCGCACTCGCGTCATCCCTATCAAAGGACTACCATGCGGCGCATCGTTCGTGATCTCATAGGGAGCTTCACCGAAGTTCCTCGCGGCGGGCGGCGGTCGGGAGGCGGCGGGCGGCGGTCGGCCGGCGGTGGTCGGTTTTGGGAATGTTGAATTGCTTCATGCGTAGCAACGGCGAAGAAAGCTTTGGGAATGTTAAATGATCCAGTCATCCCAGGGGTGCAAAAGCACCGGCGAGAGTAGGAGGAAGAGGAGAAGAGGGAACGGCGGAGAAGACGAGGGGAGAGGGGAAGGCTGATACGAAACTGCCCCAAAGTCGTATCATCTAGACGCCGCGCAGCGAGACGGAGATAAGTCGAACCACGATGAAGATAATACTGCAGGCCCTCCTCGTAATGAAGTATCTACAAGGACCCGAAGGAATCCTCGAAACTGCGCCGCGTGTGGCTGCCCCAAAGCGACGCCTGAAAAAATGCGGCGGGACGGGAGGGGGGAGGCGATTTGAACGCTAGTTTTCGGCACGCCGTCACGGCGCGAGCACAGGGGCGTTGCGGGGCGGGGGGCCGTGGGGGGGGCGGGCGGGAGGACGATTGAGAAAATAGTTTCCGATGCCCGATTTTTATTCGTCCACCCCACACAAAAGAATCAGGGAACCCGGGGGGGGGAGGGGGGGGGGATTTTTTTAATCGTCTACTCCCATTAGGAGGGGGAGGAGGAAGAGGAGGAGGGGGAGAAGGAGGAGGAGGAGGAGGAAGAGGAGGAGGAGGATGAGGAGCAGGAAGAGGAGGAGGCGGGGGAGGAGGAAGAAGAGAGGAGGAGGAGGAAGAGGAGGAGGAGGAGGAGGAGGGGGGAAGGAGGAGGAGGAGGAGGAGGAGGAGGAGGAGGGGTGTGGGTGTGGTGTGGTGCCACGAGAGTCCGGTCCACGAGACGTCCGAGGGGAGCTCCACAGAGGACCGGTGCCGCCCTGCGGGCGCTGCCACCGAGACCTGAAGCCCCAGACGGGGCGAAGAGACATCAAAGGGGCCCTGGGACACGCAAATCCGCCGACCCTGTCGGCGTGTGGAATGGGTTGTTCATCTCGTCCGTGCCTCCTTCCCTTTCCCACCTTCTCCGTCACCTCCTCCTTCGTCTCCCCCTCCTCCTCCTCCTCCTCCTCCTCCTCCTCCTCCTCCTCCTCCTCCTCCCTCCTTTCATCTCTTTCCTCCTACGTAAAGTAATTTGACTCGAAGGGTTTCCCCTTCCCTTTGTTCCCTTCCCGGCCGGGGGGGGGGGGTCCTGGGGAAACCGGGGGGGTCTGGGGGGGGTCCCCGGGGGGGGGTCCTGGGGGGGGGATCCCGGGTCAGAAAACCACCTCCCTCCTCCTTCTCCTCCTGAGCGTCTTTTGCCACCTTATACATCTCCTTTTCGTTTGTCTCCCCCTCCTCCTCCTCCTCTTCCTCCTCCTCCTCCTCCTCCTCTTCCTCCTCCTCCTCCTCCTCTTCCTCCTCCTCCTCCTCCTCCTCACGCACTTCCTCCGCCTACCCTGTCACGTTGTCCTTTAGCTCCTTCCTGTGATCGCACATCCCGTCTCCATCGACGGCCAAATCCTTCAGGGTCGGCGGCAAAGGCCGTAAGGCCTTCACAGTATGGCGCATGTGATTTTGGCGCTACGTCTCCTCCTCATTATCATCATATTCATCGCATTCCTCCTCCATGTTCCTCCTTTCCCTTCCAATCCCCACCCGCCTCCTGCTCCTCCTCACCTCCTCCTCACCTCCTCCTCACCTCCTCCTCCTCCTCAGCCTCCCCTGCCGCACCCGCGAGGATTTCATGGACGTGAGGGATGATGATAAAAAAACGATTGATGATACATGGATGCAACATGTTAAGCTGATCGCAAAGGTATGCCAACTGAATCTCAACCTGGCAGCACAGCACGCCCAGGCGCGAATGGCATGCAGATTCACGCACTGACTGGCCCCGTGACTGTCGTGAGTGCAGAGGGCACATGAGGACGGAATCCAAAGTGCAGAAAAGTCTGGCCCAGCAAAGTGGTTCACCAGAACGCAAGTGGCGATACCAAGAACATTTGCGCAAGTGGAATCATTATGAAGCGGTCTTCGCCCTTCGGGGGCTCCCAGGCGGCTAAAAAGAGTGCCACCCAAACATTTGGCGCTCCATTTTTTCGATGCAGGAGAGCTGGACCAATTCCCTGGGCCCGCTTGTCGACCTGGGTACGTGTGTTACTGTCCAGGTGGCCAATGGAGGGCTCTCGGAGGCAGCTCGGCCAAATTCGACCGCTCCAATTTTTCGAAGCCTCGGATTGCTGAGGCGCAGGCCCTGACGCGGTCGCACGGAGTTACGTTCCACACGGGGCGGCCCAAAGACCTGGCCCTCGAGGCCACAAATACGGATACGGATACGGATACGGATATATATATATATATATATACAAGACTGCAGTGGCGCTTCGCGCCATGCACCTTGGTCCTTGAAGTTTGGAATGCAGGCGGAATGGCAGGAAGGTCAAGCCGACAATTTAGCGATAACTCCTGGTTGCCTTTTCCGGCATCGCCGCTATAATGATGTAGTTCGTTATCTTTCCTCCACGCTTATTGTCCCTCATTTTCGCCATACCCTGCGCATTCTCCCCATCCTCCTCAGCTCTTTTTTGCGGAGGTTCCTCCTTGGAGAGCCTCTAGGGGCCTCACAAAAGTTGTTTCGGGCTTTCTTAAGGCCTTCTGGAGGGCTCCTGGGCGTATTCTGGGGGCCTCCGGGGGCTTCCTCGGGCCACCGTGCCTCCAACCGCCGTCTCCCTGAACGACCGAATCACGTTTTGGAATTCTTCGGAGGGTTTCTTTGGGCCATCTTTGGCCGCCATGGGGCTCTCTGAGGGCCATCTTGGACCCGTGTTGTGCCGTTTTGGGGCTCTCTTGGACTGATTGGAAGCCCTTTCGGATGGTTGTGGGGCGATTTGGGAGCCTCCCAGGCGGCTTCGGACGCTCGGAAGACCGCCGTCTTGGAGCGTCGGGAAGCCGAAAAGAGGAGAACCCCAAAATTCGCCAAAAATCAACAGAAAATCCATGATTTTTGCCTCGGGGGGGGCCTTCTTGGAAGTGCTCTTGGAGGCCTCTTTGGGGCCGTCCTGGAGGCCTCTTGGGCCATCTTGAGGTCACGTCGGTCACTCTTGGAGCGCTCTTGTGCTGTCTTGGGGGTCTCTGGGACGTCTCCGATGACCCCCCTGATCGCCCTAAGTGTGCTGGGAAGGCTTGGCAAAACGCCTTGCGATGCCCAGTGGCCGCTTCGAGGCCCGTCCGGAGGGCCCCAAAAGCCCCAGGTCCCGGGAGTCTGTTTTTTTTGGGGGGGGGTGACGGGTTTTCCCCCCGCCCGGGCTTATAAAAATATAGGAAGAGGAATATGTATGTGTGTCTATGTATATATATATACACATACACACATACACACATACACACATACACACACATACACACATACACACATACACACATACATACATACATACATACATACATACATACATACGTACGTACGTACGTACATACATACATACATACATACACACACATACATACAACATACACACACATACATACATACATACATACATACATACATACATACATACATACATACATACATGCATGCATACATACATACATACATACATACATACACACACATACATTACTTACATTACTGGCATGACTTACATTACATACATGGATGACTTAGTTACTTACTTACATACATACGTATATAGAGGCCTATGAGCCCTATCATTGCGTGCCAATCCTGAGGCACTGGCGGGGAATCAGAGCTTGATACTTGCCTGCGCCCCCAGAGATCCGGTGCCGTGAGCTCCTCGACCGCAGGGTCCCTGGAAGCCCCGACCCGCTCCCCAGGGCCGGCCCGGGAGCCAAACTCTGTATACACCGACGCACTTTCCGACCCCGCACGGACATGCGCACAGGAACGCGGATCCTGGTGTATACGGATCCTGGTGTATACGTTTTTGGATGTTCCCCGGGAAATGGAACAAAAAATATACACCACACCACCCCGACGTCTTCCCCACCAAACCAAGTTTTGCTGGGATTGTCGACAGCCAGCCACTGGTAATGTATCTGCTCCAGCTTCCGGGATCTTCCTCCTGAACATGATGTTGTTGACGGTCCTGGGGGCCCGGTGAGGGCCCCGAGCAGCCGAAAGCTGTCAAACACTCCCCGCCCTGCTTGTCTCACGACGCGAGCACGTCTGGCTTTGAAGGGGCCCAAGGACACACAAATAAATACACACAAACAAAAGGATTCCCCATATCTTCCCACATTTTCTGGATATTTTTGTCCCCCCCCCACTTCCCATATTTTCCCATCTTTCTGGGGAATCGACGATTCATTATGTCTGTGCGTTCTTTTCCCTCCTGAAGCTTTCCCAGCCCGCAAACTCGGCCCGCTGGCGGCCGCCCGGGACGCTCCGGGCACCCCAGGGCGGCCGGAAGAGAGCAGTCGAGAACCGCCGAGAACGCTGCAAAACCTCGCGTCGGGGGTCTGGGGGTCTGCGATATGCTGGTCCGGATTGTTTCCACACGTGGGATCTCGGGATCCACGCGGTCTGGCATGTCCCCCTGCAGGCAGATGTTGGACGGACGGGAGATAAAGAAATGCCCCCCAAATCTCAAAACGTAGTCGAAACATACTCAAAGCATCGCCCCCTGATTATTGTTTTCTAATGTTTGGGCATTCCTCCTTCAGGAGGGACAGGCCCGACTGAAGTCCAGGCGGGCCCCGGCGGGCAAGGCTGCCCGAGGCCCCCACCGCGGCCGAGGAGGCCCGCACCGGGGCAAGGTTGCAGGCCGGGGGCGGCAGGGGCGAGGTCCCGAGGGCCAGGGGGGGCGGAGGGTATGGAGCCCACAGAGGACGTACGCGCCCAGCTATGCACATGAACGCGGCCCCTCGATCCGCGAGACTGGCCGCGTTGTGCGAACATTTGCGCAATATGCGCACTCTCGAAACCATCGTGGCTTCATGTGCGCGCGCGTCCTTCTGTCGCTCCTGCGGGGGGGGAGGGGGGGGGGGGGCAGGGAGCCCCCTGCGCATGGGTTTGGAGTATAAAGGTACAGAACCGCTGATCCGGAGGTAGAGGAAAGGAGGGAAAGATGGGGATCTTTTTCTCCTGCGCGATCAACAGTCTGATCGATGCCAACACCTGAGTCCAAACGGCCAGGAGACAGGAGAGTAAGGAGCATATATGAGGGTATTACACGGGCTCATTTCACACCCCCCGTCCCGAATCCCGCCCGCAAGGGCAGGGCCCGGGAAAAGGAGGAAAGAACCCGCAACCCTTTACTCCTTAAAATTCGCAGGCAGCTGGGCGGACAAATTCTGCATCGCCTCAGCTGCGTCCCGAACACAACAGCTGCGTGCAAAAGTGTGTAGCACATCCGCTGGTATGATCGGGCAGGGTGAGGACGACGGAGCACCCAGGGCCCCTCTTTCTTCTCCAAGCACGCTTTGGTACCCCCTCGGTGCGCCCCCAAAAAATGCCTCGGCACTCGAGGCCGGAGAAGAATGGGGCACGGGTGAGCGGAGCAAGAGGATCTGATCGATCTAGAACAATATCAACAGCTGCTGCGTCGAAGACGCAGCAGCTGTTGCCACCGGCAATTTAACGAAAGCTGGGTATCATATCATTATCAACGCCTGCTCGCCATCAAAAATACGCTGTCGCACAGAACATTTAAATAATCAAAATAAACGAGCACGAAAAACTCCATAGACAAATGATGCACTGGATTACCTCCTTCGGCAACGCCCCTGAGGGGCGCGCCCTGGGTTTCACCGAGATGCATATACGAGGCCACTTATCATGTATAGCGGAGTGGCCAAAGCTTGCGTGCGCATTGATTGCTCGAGGCGAACTTCTCAAATCTAAAGTTGAAGCATGCTCGAGCAGTGGGCCTCGCGGCCGGCGTTTCTAGGCATTTCCTCTCATGTGGAACTCGCTGGCCCACTCGCGATGGCCATCGAATCCAATGAAACTGGTCACGCACGTTGCCCAAGGCGTCCGCGGGGTCCAGTTGCGGAAACGCTGTTTGCGCTGCAGGTCGCGGATGTAGACGAACTCGCCGTTGTTCTCCGAAATGTACACCCAGCGCTCGCTGTAGTAACTCCAATACCTTGGGCCCCACTGGCTGCCCTCAAGGTGCTGGCGCCACCGCGCCGCGAAATCAGCGGCTGTGCGCGCCCGCTCGGCACTCGGGGGAGTCGCTGGTCTGCAGCTGCCAGCGCTGGCGCCGGCTGGCTGCCAACCGCTCGGCCGCGGGGCGACGGCTGCGCCGCTCCGCCCAGCAGCCGTCGCTGCCAGCGCGCCAGAGGCGCGGCTTCCAGCAGCATCACCGCGGGCAGCACGAGGCGGCGGCGCCATGGCGTCATGTGTAGTAAGTGAATGTGTGGGGGCGGTGTCAGGATCGGTTCTAACTCCTGAACCCTTCCCCCCTATTTCAGTCGGTCCCAGGGCAGGTCCAACAGGGGCGAGGCTGGCCAGGTCACGCCGCGTGTCTTCGTCATAAGTGCCGCCCCCGCGGGGGGCGGCAATCGTGGCAAGACCGCGCTCCTGCCTGGTGCCTCTGTCCATCCTACACTCACTCAACCACCAATTCTTGCGACCAGCGAAGCCAAGCGCTTGGCTGCGGGAGTGAATGCCGCAGGCTGTCCGCATGTCCCCTATGGCCCAAGGCGCCTGACCAATGGCCTCGAGGGCTCCGGTCATTTGATGGTGGAAACGGGAATCGTTAAGGTAACGCTGGATGACGTTGCGGAAAGGATGGTACCATGGCCTGTTGTCGCCGGGTCCGCCCATCATCCTGCGCGCACTTGCAGGTGGGGAACCCGTTTCACACCACTGTTTGTGCCTCAATTCTGCCTTTTTCGCCATCTGCCTCAATATGTTACGCTGCTCGCCGATTTCCGTTACCCAACGTTACCCAACGTTACCTCAACGATTCCCGTTTCCACCACCAAATGACCGGAGCCCACGAGGCCATTGATCAGGCGCCTTGGACCATAGAGGACACGCGGACGGCCTGCGGCATTCATTCCCGCAGCCAAGCGCTTGGCTTCGCTGGTCGCAAGAATTGGTGGTTGAATGAGGGTGGGATGGGCAGAGGCACCAGGCAGGAGCGCGGTCTTGTCACGATTGCCGCCCCCCGCGGGGCCGGCACTTATGACAAAACAACGCGGCGTGACCTGGCCAGACTCGCCTCTGTTGGACCTGCCCTGGGACCGACTGAAATAGGGGGGAAGGGTTCAGGGGTTAGAACCGACCCTGGCACCACCCCCGCACATTCACCTACTACACATGACGCCATGGCGCCGCCGCCTCGCGCTGCCCGCGGCGATGCTGCTGGAAGCCGCGCCTCTGGCGCGCTGGCAGCGATGCCTGCTGGGCGGAGCGGCGCAGCCGTCGCCCCACAGCTGAGCACCTGGTTTTAACCTGGTCTCGTAGCTCAGCGAGATCACCTGCAGCGGGCGCAGCCGCCGGCAGGTCGTCTGAGAGGTCGAGGTGAGGAGCGCCCGCTCCCTGATGCACCCTCTCGCGAGGGGTGCGTGGCCTCTGAAAGGCCGCTCGCTGGCTCGACCGAATCTCGTCGTAGGGGCCTGCGGCCTGGCGACGGTTGCGCGTGGACGAGCCGCGGCTAGGGCCGTGTGTGTGGTGTCTGACGGGACGATGACACCTTGGGGTTTTGCGTCTACGGCTGCGCCGCCACTAGTCTACCGAGCTCCTCGAAGGCGGCTACGTGCGCCGACGCTGGAACAGTCGCAGGGCTGGCTGGGCCAGCACTGTTGGTCCAACGGCGGTTAGCGCGGAACCGCCCTGGAGTATTGGGACCAGTGGGGCTTGCGCCCGACGCACTGGGAATTGCTCCCGACGTAGGAAGAAGAGATGGACGGTCGAAGGTAGGCGTGTGAAATCCTCCAATGCCTGCTCCTGCTCCTGCCCCTGTCCCCCCGTGGGCGGGGCGGCGGCGAAGTTCAGCAACTACTCGCGGCTCGGGTCCGTCGGAGCTGGGGGGGGTATCTGGGACACCCACACGGTCACCTCCAAGGCTCTCCAACTCATCACCGAGCCGTCGCGCCGTCGGAAAGCTCGGACGCGAAGCCTCGAAGGATCCCTTACGGCGCATGCGCCGTCTGGGCTCCGTCGGGACTGCGAGCGAGATCGCGACGCAGGGTTCGGTGAATGGTGAGCTTACAGGGCTGATAAACTGCGCATGGGGTTGGAGTACAGAAGGTGCAGAAATCCTGATCCGTAGGTAGAGGAAAGGAGGGGAAGATGGGGATCTTTTCCTCCTGTGCGATCAACAGTCTGATCGATGCCAATACCTGAGCCCAAACGGCCAAGAGACAGGAGAGTAAGGAGTATATATGAGGGTATTACACGGGTTCATTTCACACCCCCAGGAGGACGGCGGGTCGAGCAGGGACCGACCGCCCCTCCCTGTAGGCCTATACCACGAGAGGTTCTTCAATCGAAAACTGGGCGACAGCTGCTAACACCGCGGCTGCTACACCGGCCCTCCTGGAAGGAAAAAAACAGCTTCCCGGAATGAGGCGCGGCACGCGACACAGTCAACGGGCTTCGTTCCGGAAGGACGAAGACACCTTCCCGGAGGTCGATTTTAGCAGCCACGGATTTAGCAGCCCTTGCCCGGCTTCCGATCTTAGGACCCAGATCTGTCCTAAGAGCAAGAACAGCGTTCTCAGAACATGAACCCGAGGCGTTGAAACAAAACCGCATCGGCCAGAAAGGTTCTGAGAACACGTCGTGAAAACCACAAGAGGTTCTTAGAACATTCTTTGGTGGGACTATGGGCGAGCCAGGACTATATGGGGCCAGGGGCAGCGATGGGCCCCGTGGGCCAGGGCAGGGTCTGGCAGACGAAGACCCAGCAAATGCCGCAGAACCTGGGGAATCCTGGGATGTGTGTCGATTTATTTGTGTGTGTGTGTGTGCGTGTGTGTGTGTGTGTGTGTGTGTATGTGTGTGTGTGCGTGTGTGTGTGTGTCGGGCCATCAAGAGCGCACGTCCAGCAGCATCGGAGCAACTGACCGTGGCCTGTGCCAACGGGCCCACTTGGGCCGCTTAGGAGCCTCTGGGCAGGACCAGAAACCGAAAGCAGGCAATCCCCAGATCACCGAAAACAAGGCGCCTCCGAACCCCGCGGAGGCCAGGGCCGAGGACGAGAAGACACTCTCACCCCGACAGAAAACTACAGGGCTTCACCCGTGTAAGGATTCAGGCCGTGGAGGAGCCTGCCCCGACGGCGAGCCCTCTCGCGGAGGGCGGGGGGGGGTGCGCTGACTTGACGCAGGCAGGGGCCCCGTGCACTCGACCAGCAAACCACGCGCCTGCTGCTTGCCAGAGAGATACCCGCACTTGCGACAAAAGGTGAAAGGCGGGGCGGAGACCAGCTCGTGTCCCCGCTCGTGAACGACCCCCGCCCCAACGCCCGCACCCCCGCCTCCCTCCTCGGCGGCCGCGGCGGCGGCGGCACGGCCGCGGGCTGCCTGGCCCCGCACCCGCGGGGCCCGCGGCGCAGCAGGGGGCCCCGTCAGTGGCGGGGGCGCCGCTGGCTCCGCCGTCGGCGGGGTGGGGCTGGTCGTCCGCGTTCGCATCGCACGGTCCCCCGCCCTCCCAGCCCCCTCGCACGTCGGCTCGCCCTCCCTGCCCTCTCCTTCCTCCTGGTCCTCCAGGGGGGCCTCCAGCAAACCTCCCGAGAGGGGCTCAGGGGTAGAGGACAGGTGGGCAGAGGCTGTGGCATCAGGTGTGCCCCCAGCAACACTGAGGAGACGGGCAGCGATCCGAGCCCGACGATCCTCGTCGGAAGGGCCGTTCTCGGGGCGCTCGGAGGGGGGTGGCCTCGTCGGCCGAGGCCCTCGTGACATCAGTTGGGGTCGGGGGCTCGGTCGGGACACGAACGCGAGCGGATCGATCCAGCCCGAAAACCGCATGGGCCGACTGCGTGCCTTCGAGCCTGCTGCGTGACCTGAGCGGAGCCGCCGAGGAGGAGGGGCCGTCACCTTGCCGTCTCGGCGAGCGGCTGCCTCTCCTGCCTGGGTCAGGCTCTCCTCTCCCCGACGGGGTCGACGCGGCGGCAGCGGCGGCAGCAGCGGCCGAGGCCAGGGCAACCGCAGGGGAGGGGCGAGGAGGGGCAGGGCTGACCCCCTCGGCCTGTAGGGCCGCCTGGGCACGGAGCCTGGCCAGGTGAGACGGCACACATGGGTATGATTCGAGGCGTCGCCTGGTCTCCGCCGTGCGTGCCACACAGTTGCAGGCCAGGCAACGGACACCCCCTCCAGGGAGCTCCGCAAACTCGTGCGCCACAAACGATAGCAACCTGGGCGCTGTGACGGGCGGAGGAGGCCTCGGGTCGGCCTCCGCGGGATCCCAAACCCCCGAACCAGCCGCACGAGCAGCCGCCCAGGCAACGAATTTAGCATTAAGACAGGCCTCCTCCATACGAATCTGGATGTTACGAACCAGGCTCTTAGCTGGGCTGGCTAAGTCTAGAGCAACACTAGCACACAGATCAGCCCAGCTGTTTCCAAGCCAGTCCTGGAGATCAAGGTTAAGCTCAATAGCCTGGGCCAGGGATTTATGCGAGGGAATCCATCCGAACGAGGGCGGCCTCCTGTCTTGGCGGGCCACAGTGGCGCGTAGCGCTCTCCAATGTGCAGCGTGACGGGCCGAAGCGGACGCATCCCCAGGACTCCACCGTTGCCCTTCCCCCACAAAACTTAAATGATCAGAAATCAAACACGACACCTGTGGGGAGAGGCACGTGGCGACGAGTCCAGCATATCTTTCAGCCCTCGCCACTGTCTGCACTCCTGGGAGAGAGCCGAAAATCGCCTTACAGGGCCAGCCGTCGTCTCGCAACTGTACAACGGCCCAGGAGCATCGAGCGATCTCAGGAGTATCCATGCCGAAACCGCCACCATCGATATACAACCTACCGCCCCACGGAATCTCGGCCTCTCCCCAATGGTGCACGAAATCGGGACACATGGGAGGCCTCTCAGAGGCAGGAGGCTGTAGCGGGATAGCATACGCAAACTGCAAAGACTCATGTGGATCATCCTGGGCCGACTCCCAAGCAAGGCGATCGAGACGCTCACGGGTCTTGAGAATCGCTTCAGACGGGGCCGACTCGTGAAGGGCAGGGTCCAGGAGGGCGGGGCATTTGTACAGACGATGGCCGTTTGTCTCACGCTCAGCACCGCATGCCAGGCACTTACCACAGTCAATCAAACGCTTCTCATACTTTTTCTGCCGAGGCCACATCGCATCAGTCCAGACGCACTGCAGCGATCCGCGTTCGGAAGGGTCCCGAACTGCTTTCTCCCTCCGCGCACCTCCTGATGCCGCGGTACCAGAACTGCTCGCCAGTGTGTGTCTCGATGTGGCTCTCCGCGCGCGCCAACAGCCAGAGCGTGACACCCTGGACGACCTGGTCGCGAACGTCTCTGGGCGCCATCTGATTCAGGTCGAGGACGGTGCCAAGGTCGGACTCGAAGGTGGTCGCTGAGGTAAGCCGCCAGCCGATCCGATGCAAGGTAAGCCACAGGGCCCCGAGTGGGCCACGCACTCGGCTCCAGCTAGGCTGAGCGCTCATCTGCCCGTTGACGAACTCCCAAGCGCCACCGAGGGCTTGCATTCCCAGCCGACCTTCCCACAGCATGCTCGCGTACATGAAGACGATGCTGGTGGTCGCCGCATACAGTGGATCGTAGTGGGGCTGGTCCTGCATGAGCATGCCCATGCATATGCTACCCGTCGGGCGCACTCCTGCCAGCAGCGCAACAACCGAGCGGATCGGCTTGAGCACCGCGTCTGAGACTCCGCTGACCGAGGCCCCGTGCGTGACGGACGGCGTGATCCCAGCGGCCTGGATCCGCGTGATACGGCTGGCCCCCACAGCTTTCTTGAGTATGAGGGAGCGTCGCACCCGTCCTCGAAGCTGCTGTAGTCGCGCTGCCTCTTGTTGCCGTCGCACTTTGGGGCCTGCTAGCTCATGGCCAAGGTTCCGAATCCACGGCAAACCCATGACCTGCCTGGCTCGCGCCGCCGAGCGGAAGGCCCTGCTGGCACGGCTGGAAGAGGCGACGTAGCCAAGCTTCTTGATCTGGATGGGCAGCTGGAGGCCCTGGAGCTCGAACTTGAGCTGATCGATGCCCTCGCCCAACTCGTTCGCGCAGTGCTTGGCATGCCCAGTCCACTGGAGGGAGACGTCGTCGACCAACTGCCTGGGCTTGAGCGACGGGCACAGCGCGCTCATTCTCAGCATGGACCTGTGCATCAGTACAGCTAGGAGGGTCGTCGCCTGAGAGCATCCTGCCACGATGCCTTGGAAGGAGATGAAGAACTCGCTGTTGCTGCCGTGTGCTCGAACGACGCGTGGCTGTCGATAGAGCTGGGTGAGTAGCCATACCAGCCTGGGCGGGAAGTTGACCTCCGTCGCCTCTCGAACCAGAACTTCGGGCGCCACCATCTCGAAACATTTGAGAAGGTCCACCATCAGCGTGATAACGTCCGGGGTGAGAGGGCCAAAATATTCGGAAGTCCCCCGCGGCCTTCTGAAGAGTTTTTTGGGCCTTCCCCGGAGACACCGGCGGCGCCGGCGATGAGTCGGCGACGCCAGCGCGGGGAAAGTCAGGCCCCACATCGAGTAGCATCCCCGATGCATCGGCGATGCGGCACGATCATTCGACACCATCTGCTCCGACCCCGTGTTGGAGGCCCCCGAGATCGCTCATTAGAGACCCGCAGAAGCATGCCTGAGAACTCTCTGACCCACAGCAACCCAGGCACGGTGGCGGAATGGACCGCAGGTTATTAGATCCACCGCCCCCTGTCCTTGTCACAAGGGTGCCTGGTGTGGTAGTAGACCCTTTCGGTTTTGGTCTTGGTTCTTTTTCCAAAAGGGCTCTCCCCTGGGGCTCTGGCCCGTCCCGCCGGCCACCCGGAAAGACTCGCAAGACCCGGTTGCCAAGGTTTTTCCTGCTCCAGACGGCTCCAAGATGGCCCGAACTGGCCTCCAAGATACCTCCAAATAGGCCAAGATGGCCTCCAAGACGGCCCAAGAGGGACCAAGATACTTTCAAGCCCGCCCAAGAAGCCTCCACGACGGCCCAAGACTGCCCAAGAGGTGCCCAAGAGACCTCCAAGACGGCCCAAAGAGGCCTCCGAGAGGTCCGCCAGGAGGGCCCGAAGAGGCTAACAACGGCCCAAGACGGCTCAAGAAGCCACCAAGATCGCCCACAGAGCGCCCAAGAGGCCTCCAAGATGGCCCCAGAACGGCCCAAGAGGCCCCCAAGACGGCCCCAAGAGGGCCCAAAGACGGCCCAAGATCTTTAAGACGCCCCAGGAAGCCTCCAAGACGGCCCAGGACCACCCCAAGAGGGCCCCACGTCGGCCCAGAGAGGCCCCCAAGACGGCTTCCGACGGCGTCAGACGGGCCAGGAGCCCACTCAGATGGCCCAAGATGGCTCTAAGATGGCCCAAGACGGCCCAACAGGCTTCCAAGAGGGCCTCCTGGAGGCCCGAAGAGGCCCAAATCATTGTTCAGCCGTAGATTACTGAAAGATGTTGGCATTTGCTTCTGTTCGGCCTTCCGACGGCCCGAGACGGCCCAAGGGCTCCCAAACATCGCCCCAAGATCGCCCAAGAGGATGGCCCCAGAACGGCCCAAGAGGCCCCCAAGACGGCCCAATGACGGCCCAAGAGGCCTCCAAGACGCCCAAAAAATTGCCTCTAAGACGACCCTGGAGCACCCCAAGAGGGCCCCAAGTCGGCCCAGAGAGGCCCCCAAAACGGGTTCCGACGGCGTCAGGCGGATGGCTCTAAGTTGTCCCAAGACGGCCCAAGAGGCATCCAAGAGGGCCTCCGGTAGGCCCGAAGAATCATTGATCAGCCGTAGGTTTTTAAAGAATGTTGGCATTTTTTCTTTTCGGCCGACCGGCGGCCCGAGACGGCCCAAGAGCCTCCACAAATCGCCCCAAAATCGCCCAAGAGGCCTCCAACATGGCCCCAGAATTGCCCAAGAGGCCCCCAAAACGGCCCCAAGAGGGCCCCAAGGCGGCCCACGAGGCTTCCAAAACGCCTAAAATGGCCTCGAAAACGACCCTGGAGCACCCAAGGAAGGCCCCAAGTCGGCCTAGGGAGGCCCCAAAACGGTTTCCGACGGCGTCAGCTGAGATGTTCTTTTCAACGCCAGGGGGATCAGCCACAGCATCTGACCTTGAGCAATCTTCAAGTTGAGTTGTACTTGCAAAAATGGACTTGCAATATCACAAAGCAACTTGAAACCCTATGGCACATCAAATATTTTACACCTGAGCATAAATCTATAAAATAGTGAGATGCGGCCCTTGCGAGACGATGAACTTATGGAACTTATCTAGCTTACTATTTCACTGAAGTTCAATTGTGTGAAATGATTTTTTGTTTAATTCTCTTGCACAGGATGCCTGGAGCTCCGGCCAGTTTATTTCGGCGTCGTCGTCGCTCCCGCCCAGCTGCCTTGTGCCCTTCATGTGTCGCTATATGTGTCGTTGTGTGCGTTGTGCCCTTCATGTGCCGCTATATGTGTCGTTGTGTGTCGCTATGCGTCCCCATGTGTGCGTCGTTATGTGTCGCTGTGTGTCGCTATGCGTCGATATGTGTGTGTGTGTGTCGATATATGTCTCTATATGTCGATATGTGTCGACATGTGTCGTTATGTGTCGCTCCCCAGCACCCCAGCGCACCGCCTTCTCCGCCCCGACCACTTTATTTCGGCGTCGTCGTCGCCCCCCCCCTCCCCCCCCCCCTCTCCCTCTCCTCAGCAGCCCAGCGCGCTGCCCCCTCCGCCCCGACCACATTATTTCGGCGTTGTGTCGACATGTGTCGGTATGTGTCGCTCCCCAGCACCCCAGCGCACTGCCCCCTCCGCCCCGACGACTTTATTTCGGCGTCGTCGTCGCCCCCCCCCCCTCCCTCTCCTCAGCAGTCCAGCGCTGCCCCCTCCGCCCCGACCACTTTATTTCGGCGTTGTGTCGACATGTGTCGCTACGTGTCGCTCCCCAGCACCCCCGCCCGCCCCCTCCGCCCCGACGACTTTATTTCGGCGTCGTCGTCGAGCCCCCCCCCTCTCCCTCTCCTCAGCAGCCCAGCGCGCTGCCCCCTCCGCCCCGGCCACTTTATTTTGGCGTCGTCGTCGCCCCCCCCGGTCCTTTTCCCCAGCAGCCCAGCGCACCGTCCTCTCCGCCCCGACCACTTTATTTCGGCGTCGTCGTCGCCCTATTTCGGCGTTGTGTCGACATGTGCCGCTTTCCCCAGCAGCCCAGCGCACCGCCCTCTCCGCCCCGACCACTTTATTTCGGCGTCGTCGTCGCCCTATTTCGGCGTTGTGTCGACATGTGTCGCTATGTGTCGTTCCCCAGCACCCTGCCCTGCAGATAGGGGCGTGCCCAGTGCCCTAGAGCTTGTGGGTTGGCATCACCATACATCTTATTGCGTCACCATGGTCATATGCTTCATCCATTTTCCGTCTTATCGTCCATTTGCCCATCACCCATCCTATATATCCATCACGCATTCATCATCCACTCATCCATTACATCCATTGTCCATCCCATCAACACCCATCATCCGTTCGTCCATTACATCATATCACCATGCATGGTACATCATCCATCATCCATTCATCCATCACGCGAATGCATCATCATGCGTCATGCATCATGCTTCATCATCGGTATCATCATCAACACCATCACCATGTACCATCATACACCATACATTATGCATCATGCTCACACACCATACGGCATACACCAAACACCATACAGCGTACACCATAAACCATACACCATGCATCACCATACACCCTACACCATACAGCATCCATCCTCAACACCTTGTATCACAATACACCATACAGCACGCAATACCATGCATCATGCATCACCATTGGCCTGGACATTAAAGTGCAGCCTTAACGGTGACCGAGCGGATTTCGGGTGACCCGCGCGAGGCACTTCCTCCTCCCTCCTCCTCCTCCTCCCTCCAACTTCTCCTCCCTACTCCTCCTCCTCCTCCTCCTCCTCCTCCCCCTCCCCCTCCCGGTCGAGAGGTCCATCTTCGCGCCTTCGCGTTGGCTCCTGGAGAAGGGCGGCCTTCCATGCAATCGATCTCGCAATCGATCTCACTATCGATATCAAGAGGTCCCAAGACGCCTAAGGCCCCAAGACGCCTAAGGCCCCAAGATCCCCCTAAGGCCCTAAGGCAAAAATACTGCCAGCCACCGAAACAGCCAACCCCTGGCCGTGCTACGCGAAGCGTATAGGATGTAGTTGTAAGGCACCTCGACGATGGCGTTCGGCCGAACTCCGCCAGCTTCATCGCCCCCCCCCCCCCCCCCATGGCATGCAAGGGCGCGCGGCATGCGGCGTGCCTCCCTACGCGGGCGGATGCATGCCGCATGCCGCATGCCTTCGCATGCCGCGGGATTTCACTGCTCCGAGGCTCTGAGATGCATCTAAGCCCTGGGGACAAAACAAAAAATCCAAGACCCTGGCCAGGGGCCCAAAGGCCCTGGGATTGTCCAACCGTGGCGACGAGGGCGGAGGTCGGCGGTGAGACGGAGCCGCGGGCCAATGCCCCATCGATGCCCTGGAGGCCCCAAGCTGCGCCAAGACTGCCAGCCAACCAACCTTCCAACCAACCAACCAACCAACCGCCTAAGACGCCCTCAGCCTAATAATGCCAGCCAGCCAACCAACCATCCGCATAAGATTCCCCAACATTGTCCTCAAGGCCCCAAGATGCCTTTAAAGCCACAAGGTGCCCTTGCAGGCCCCAAGATTCCCCAATATTGCCGCGAGGCCCAAAGATGCCCTTACGGCCCCAAGATGCCCTTCATGTATACGATGACTTAATGTGTATACGGGATCAGTTTTTTATTATTTGAGATTCGTGTGTTCTGTGTGTTGCGTGGTGCGTGATGCGCGTGCGTGTGCGCGCGCGTGCAAAGGGGCGACTCAACAAATTTGCGTGCATATGTAGATACGTACAAGCATATATACACACATGAGACATTTTTGCACTCCGGAAGGCCCTGGGGCCGTCAAACAAAGAACGATTCAGGACGAGGAAACGGTCCGAGGGAAGGCCCAGGTCCCCAAGGGTACACGCTGCGAAAAATGCGACATCGGGGGCACGGTACACAACCGCCAGGAGTCACGTGCCTGGGCGGAGTCCTCCAGGGTCCGTGACCTCATCCGCTGCTGCCGCCACCGCGGCCGCCGCCGTCGTCGCCTTCGTCGCCTTCGCCCTCGCCGTCGCCTCCCTGGATCATCGGAGACACAGGGCCCGCGCGCGCCAAGCTGCGCCCGACCGCGGCGACGACGAGCAAGGCCCCCGAGGGCCAGGAGGTTCCGACCCTCGGATTCGAGGCTCGAATTCGGGATTCTCGATTGTCGAGGCCCTCCAAAAGCCGACGCCGCCACGGCTGCCGCCGCCGACGACGACGACCTGGCGACGACGATCCGACGACGACGATGCGGTCGACGAGAAGACGCCGCAATTGTCAAGACCTCTCCCAGGTCCCGGCGGGCCCTAAGCGCAGCCAGCTCGGAGAAGGAATGGGAGCAGGGACAAGGAGCAAGGCTTTGGAGGGAGGGGGCGAGAGAGAGAGAGAGAGAGAGAGAGAGAGAGAGAGAGCGAGAGAGAGAGAGAGAGAAAGAAAAAAAGAAAAAGTAAAACAAGTCAGAGTCGGGCGCTGGCTGCACCTGCGGTGCAAAATGCACGTGTTAACTATCTTGAGCTGTGCTCATCTCCCGCCCAGCCCCAACTGGTTGTGAATCTGGGCGTCGGGTTCCCGGGTGGGCCGTCGGAGCGTTGGATCAGATAACACCGCGGGGTTGTACTTCGGGCTCCCCCACTTGCATTTGGAATTGTCCCAGTCCGTCAAGCCAGCGCGCGCCAGTAGCCTCGGCAGTATCATCTCAACCACGTTGCACGACATCGCATTGCCGAGGACGCCCCCCATGTGAGTGTTGGTGATCTTGTGCTTCTTGAGGTTATTGGAATCCTTCGGGTTGAAACCCTGGAGCTGCGTCATCTCTTTGAGCGTCGTGCGCCGCCCCTCCCGAAGTAAGAAGTAGCCGCCGCATTTCCCCATGGACTTCGTCAAGCAGGGGCATCTGTCCACCTGGTAGGAGCAGAACTTCTCGCCAGCGTCTACGCCGATGACGGCCATGGTTTTCTCATCGCTTCCCCCCGCGTTGTTGATCTCTTTTTTTCGCCGATTTGATGTTGGCGTTGACCGTCTTGCATAACTTGTGTTCTGGTTTTGGCCATGCTGGGGCGTCTCTGTCTAGGATATCGTCCACGGTCAGGCAGTGGTCCAGCGCGTCTGGAAACATGAAGGGTGGGCCATCCCCCAATACGGCTGCGATGTACACCCGGGGGCGGCGCTGTGGAATCCCATATTCATGCGTGGAAGCCAATGAGTGCGAGACCACATAGCCAGCTTTCCTGATCCGTTTCACAATCCGCACCCTTGTCAGAGACAAATGTCAAGCACGTGAGCAGAGACAGTATGAGAGATGGTGTCAATGTCTGCACATGCATATAAGCGTACATGCACACATACATATATATATATATATTCATATGTATACGACACGTACATTGCATACATCTAGTGAGAGGGTGACTGAGGGGCGCATGGGAAGAGAGGGAGGCAGGGGAGGAGGGGAGGGGATAGAAATGGAGAGGGATGTATCTACACATACATATGTAGGTATGGCACTAGAGAACAACACCTATCATATTGTTTGGGCTATGAGGCTATGGGGCTATCGGGCTATGGGGCTATAGTGCCATGAGGCTATGAGCCTATAGGGCTATAGGGCTAAAGGGCTATGGGGCTGCAGGGCTATATAGGCTATAGGGCAAGGGCTACAGGGCTAGAGGGCTATAGGGCTATGGGGCCATAGGGCTATGGGGCTAGAGGGCTACAGGACTACATGGCAATAGGGCTGTAGGGCTATAGGGCTAGGGCTATAGGACTACAGGGCGATAGGGCTGTAGGACTGTAGGGCCATATGGCTTTAGGGCTTTGGGGCTATGCGGCTATAGGGCGGTGTCTATAGGGCTTTAAGGCTACATGGGCTACATGGGCTATATGGGCTCTTGGGCCATAGGGCTATGGCTATAGGGCTATAGGGTTGGTGGGCTATGGGGCGACAGGGCTGTAGGGCACCCATGCACCCCCAGGCACCACCTGGGCGCCCGGGCCCAGCCGCCGAAATCGGCGGCCCGGCTCACCGAACCATATGAATCCACGAGGACCCCTACAGAGGTAAGCTCTTATTGGGGAAGACATACACACGTAAGGGTGCGGTGTTTAGGCGACGGCCCGATAGCTGTATTCGAACTCATCGGCGTGGCGCGTGAGAAGTCCCTCCATGTTTTTTCCAGCAGGGCGACCTTGGGTTTCTTGGACTCAATGTACTGCACGCTCTTGCGAAGGTGGCCCCCGCGTTCGTCATCTTCTGGGGAAGATGCCGATGGGGCTCAGGAAGGGGCAGCGATGGAGGAGGAGGAGGAGGAGGAGGAGGTGGAGGAGGAGGAGGAGGAGGAGGAGAAGGAGGGGAGGGACCTCATTCGGGCCCACCCCCCCCTGAGACTCGGTTTATTTTCGGCCAGTTCGTCCTGCAAACCCAGGCTCGGACCTTGCTGGGACCATGGAGGGCAGGAAGCTCCAGCCACGTAGATGTCGACCTCTGGGGCGGACGCGTTCTCCGCGGACCCCAGGGGGTCCCCAGTCGCGTCATCGTCGTCGCGGCTGTCTTCGTCGTCGCCGCCCTCGTCGTCGAAGTGGGCGGGTGGGGAATTATACTTGAGATCCGGGTCAGGGCGTGCGCCAGCCGAAGGCAATGGATGGCGAGTGGTAATGTCATCATACATCACAGTAGGCTGCCACACCGTTGCGATCCTGTTCCTCAACTTCTCGTCCTTCTCGCATGCAAACTCTAGGGTCGTCTCGATGCCAGCGCGACGAAGGGCGATGCTAGGCGTCTCCAGGCCGCTGAAGCCGGTGCCAAGCCTGAGCTTGCCACGGAAGCTCGGCTTGTTCGCGTCGATCGGCTTCTTCACTGGCTTGATGGCTGGCTGAATCGACTTGCTCATTTTTATCGCAAAAAATATTATTATTTTTTTGGGTCACCGTTTTCACTTTGATTTTCTTTCCCGATTTCGTTGTGGCCCGCCTTGGGACGTGCGCCTCAAAATCCATATCTAGATCCATTGCCCCAGACGCCCTCAGGCGAAATCGAATCAGCTCTTGATCGAGGGCAGTGCTCATAATATCCTGATGAGCCGCCCACGCTACAGAAAGATGTTGATGGCGATGGTGATTATGGCGATGGTGATGGCGATGATGGTCATGGTCGCGATGAGAATGATGATGTTATGGCGAGGCCTGGGATGGAAGGGGCGGGGTGGCGACGGCAGTGGCCCCCATCGCACGTTGGGTCACCGTCGGCAGAGGCGCAGAGGGGCCAGCTCCAGGTCAAGACCCCCCCCGGGGTCCAAACGCACAAGTTTTTCGCGCGCCCGGCCGCGGCGGCGAGGGGGAAGTCCCAGGGGGGCCCCGCGGCGACGTGAAGGGGGAGGGGGATAAAGTGGAACGGCATGTTTCTACCTTCTCCAGAGCCCACGACCCCCACCTCTTCGCGGGCGGGGCTAGCGGCGCAGAGCGGCGGCGGCCTGCAGCGGCCGCAGCGATGGCTGGGGCCCCACCTCATCGGCGCCCTGCGCAGTAGAGAGGGAGAGAAAGAGAGAGAGAGAGAGAGAGAGAGAGAGAGAGAGAGAGAGAGAGAGAGAGAGAGAGAGAGAGAGAGAGAGAGAGAGAGAGAGAGCGAGGTGGAGTTAGCAGGAGAAGGCGAGAGAGGAGAAAGTGAGGTGGGATTAGCTAGAGTTCTCTGCAACTCGACGGATGCCTTGAAACCTTGCGCGCGGGCCCTGGCACCCCTCTGACCCTTCGCGGGACTTCCCCGTCAGACCGTCGCGTCGTCGTCGTCGTCGTCGTCCTTGTCCTCGTCCTCGCCCTCGTCGTCGTCGTCGTCGCATTCGTCGTCGTCAGCATTGCCCCTGGAAGGGTCAGTCCAGGGATTGTCCACAACGCACTTATACAATGTTTGCGTCGTGCGTCGAGTGCACTTACAAACTCAGATTGACCTCGCGTGCACTGGCCCGACGCAGCACCATCATCATCTTCATCGCCTTCTTTGTCGATCTCTGCCTCGACCTCAGCGGGTTTGGGCTCCTTTTTCGGCTTCTTACCCCTGGGGTTCTGAAACTCATCGCATTTTTCCTCTTGTCACTCGGGGAAC